CTGAAGTTTGAGCTGTGAAAACCTCATTTGAAAGGTGTTACATCTGCATTCTCACGCTAAACTGCAGATGTAAACAGGGCCCGGTTTATCTTTCTTTCCTACCAAAGCTTTTGCCGACCGTGGACTAAATACGAAACGTCTCCTCAAAGTCTCATTTCCTGGAATCAACTTGTCTTTCTCAACATTTTTTACACAGTCAGTTAAACACAATAAAATAAAAACGCAGTCAATGTCAGTGCAGTTAAGGTATCTGAATGCATTGTAGTCCCCCCCCCCCCTTTCTGTCACCTGCCTGGATTTGTTGCTGTGGTTCCTGAGGAGTGCAGTGAGAAGTTTTCACCACAAGATGGACTTATGGATGCGTGGATATGCAACGTATGGCAAACCCTACCCCCTATCGCCACACGCACACACGTTAATAAGCATGAAAATACACAAATAGATAGATTTCTGTATCATTATATCTGAAATCCAGTTTCTATCATTACCGTGAAACAAAGGAGTCTGTGAGGGTGGGGCCACAGAAGCTGAGAAAGGCCAAACAACTTGTGTATTAATTCCAGATATTTACTTTAGTTTGTTTTCACTGTGTTCAAGGCTCCATGGGAGCAATTTTTCCTGTGATGAATCTGTACAGCAGTCTCTGTGGAGTTCATTACAAGGAGAAAGCTAGTGCCCACCCCCACTGCTCGCAGGCCAAGAGGGATTTGGAGGGTCCAGAGGGATGGGTTAGTTTGGGGGCTGAATGGGGGGAACCTGCAGAATTGAGTGAGGGTGTGGAAGGAGGGGGGGTACCCTTGAGACCCAGGGTAAGCAGTCCATAAACACTCAGCTAATGACCTCAAACTCACTAACAACTCTGCAGTAATTAGGAGAACCGCACAAAAGGAGATTTTTAAAAAAAAATCAACGCTGAAGAAAGAGGCAGGATTATTTCTTGACTGTGACTTTAGGAGAAAAAAAAAGACTTGAGCGCATTTAGAAAAGTACAGAAAAAAGTGCCGTGTGCATTAGAAAAGGAGAAGTTAAAATGAGAACTACTGTTAAAGAAAAATCCAGTGGACCCAACGCCTTCTCCTTTTTGGGTCTGCTGGCTGCCAATAAACCCCCACTGGTTGTGTAGAGGCACGGAAGGAAGTAGCTGAGCTGTCTGATACTGTTTGATTGATTTATTAAAAAAAACCTTCCTGATGTGTGAGGTTAAATTCTAACTAATAACAGCAACAGGAAAGTGTATAATTCTGAACATTTGAACTTGGTCCCCACCTTTAGAGGCTCATAATTAAGGGTTTAAGTTCTGAGCTGTTCTTTCAGGCTACTGCTGCTCATGCCTGGGATTACTGCTTTGGCCAGAAATAAATAAATTTGAAATTTGATTTGCTTGAAAGTCAGATTTAATGCAGATTGATCAGACCCCAGCAGATCTAATGATCTAAAAATGTAGAAAAAATAAAGCTATTTATGCTTTGAAATATAACATGAAGCATTTTGAGGGGTGAGAGTCAGTCTTATTAGGTCATTTGAATCTTAATTACAGCTTTCTAAAATAACCACACGGTTTGTGTGCTGTGTCCTGGGTAAGCTTCCGCTCACGCTAGCTTGTGGTGAAACAACTGAGTTCATGTTAACATCAGCTTATTTTGGTGACTTTCCACCACAATGCTATGCAGTGTTAATTAAATAAACAATTTAAATTGTATCTGCTTGAATAATAGTAAATTAAAAACCCAATCAGAGTTTTTTTACTTGTATTCTCTCAACACTTCAAAAGAAGAAAAAGGTATTCTGTATTCTTCTGGGTATAAATACAGGAAATTACATTAATTTCTTTCTATTTTTGTATTAACAGGTCAAGACATTTCAAGTAAGTCATCATGTACATGATTCTATGCAAACGAAATACATCATTATCATGACTTTATGTCTGCCAAGAGCAGCAGAGAGTTCTTCAAATGTCAGAAGTTGTCACCTGAATATGTTCCAAGTACATAAGTTATCTCATCATGAAATTACATTTCATTAAACTTTCCCTATAAAACACAGTCGATTTTCTTCTTTACTTTTACATAGTTTTACATAGTTAAGTAGGAAACAAAAATTAAAATTTCCTTGTGTTAAAATAAGTCCGGCTTAGCTTTTTCCTAGTTTGTTTCTGAAAATAAAAACTGGATTTAATAGCTCCATTTTACTCACTTTTGTGAGGTTATGTACAGCTCATATTTTTTGATTTTGTGAATATTTCCAAATATTTTGGCTGGCTTTGGTGGAGTGAGCCTTCAGATTCTCTGCCTAAATGACACTTGTCAGTCACATTGTGACTATAATGTCTATTTCACTCCAAACTGATCAGAGTGAAGAAAATTTCCATTGTAAATTAGACAAACTACACAAAAGGGCCTTACTCTCTGAATAATTTTAATTCTGTAGTTTTAATGTTTTGCAGACTATTTTGTAGATGAAGTCTGTGCTTTCTACAGGAAACACTGATTATAGTTTATTTTAACATCCCTCAAATATAAAAAAAATCAAAGGTGAAGTCAACACAACATTTCCATTTTAAAAATGGGTTGAGATGGAGTGTCAAACTCGTAAGAAAAGCCAACCAATTGTAACCGGACAATTCACTGTCACCTTGTTCATTTTTCATTTCCTAACAGAGGTTTTGTTCACAGACTGAACTGTTGACTGTCTCTAAGAACAGAGATACAGAAGCCGGTTGTGTAGACCAGTTTAACTATCTAATTAATTCAAACACACGTTGACGCTGTTGTGTTTCCGAAGAGGACAAACTGTACCGATAGGGACCACAGAAAAAGAACTCCACTCGTATATGCAGACAGTGGTATGAGACACTAATAACTATACAAAAAGCTCAGTGGTTGAGATGATTTCCTGAAACTTTCCTGTCACCAGAGTACACAGAGGAAGTGATAACATTAGACGGCATTTGAGAGACGCAACCCTCCCTCCTTTATTTGGACGTCCAAGAAAATCAGACTGTCTTGCTTCAGCTGTACCTGGGCAGCAGTCCACCCGAGCTGCTGGACATGGCAGGACTGTTTGCTGCCGCCATACTTCTGCTGTGGCCTGGAATCGACGGTCGGGTCACATGTAAGTACCCATCCTCACTGAACCGACAAGTTAATGGAAGAACAGGAATGAGGTCTGTTTTGAAGTTAAGGCTGCAACAACAGTAAATGTTTTTTTCTTAAGGGCAAAAACGCTGGAAAATGAGAATGGATATAAGAAAACCAGGGAAATCATAGCAAGTTAAAGATGTTTGGTTTAGTTTGAGTTGTTACAGGATATGAATAAAGGAACATGTGTTCATACAAGAAAGATTTGTCCCTAAAAATGAGAAAGTAACTCTACTTCTTCACCTTATTCTTTAATTGAATCATTCATCTGATTTGTAAAATACGCAAGACAACTTACACAATTAAAAGTTGATATTTTGTTTGTCTCTCAAAAAGATTAAAACAGAAAAAAAATGTTAAAAGTTTTTAACTAAATATAGATATATTTTTTACTAATTTCAGTAATACACTCTCAGCGAGTGCGTATTTGTTTAACTAAAGTTTTTACCAAAGATATCTGCTTCTGAGTCCTGCCTTGAGCACCATTACACACAAATGCTAATTTAAGTAAAGAGTTTTCTTACTATAATATTTACTTATAATTACATTCTAATAGTTTTATACAGTAGCAAATCATTTCAAAGTCTTTCAATTTCAGTTAATGAAATGGATACCGAATAAAAGAAGAAAAATTTAATATATGAAAGCATTAGAATAAAGTCGTTTGGCAGGAACACATCAGTCAACATTGGACAGTTAATAGATGTTTTCTATCATTTTCACAGCCCAACAGTCATGTCATCAATGAAACATAACAATCTATACCCAACCAAAATGTGCTGAATAGAAAAAAAATGTAATTTAAAAAGCAGAAGAAAAAAACTGAAATCACACATTAATTATGAAGTATCCCAATTGGAATCCAAACTACTTTTCTATTTGCAGCTGTTGCTTCCTAAATAAATACTTGTTTGAGTATTTATAAATTGGATTCTATTGTCCAAATGTCTGAATATGACTTGCAAAAGTCTGACAACACACACAGAGCAGATGTACGAGCTGCAAACAGTTTTCTTTCAAAGAGATGTTTTTCATATTCAGAATGAAATTAATGAAATTCCACATTTGATCAGATTTGAACTCAAAGAGAGCAGCAGAGAGTTCTCCAAATGTCAGACAAAAATCACCTGAATATCTTAAAGCATTTCAGCTACTTCCATTCAATTTTGCCTGTAAAACATAATTGTTTTTCTTCTTTACTTTGACAAAGTTAAATACAAAAGAAACAGAAAATAATTTTCCTTACCTATGATCTTATATTATCTTGTCTTAAAATAAGTTTGGCTCAGCCTTTAGTTCAGTTCAGGTTTGTTTCTGAAATTAAAATCCAGATTTAATTGCAGCATTGTACTCATTTTTGAGGTATGTAAAAGTCATATTCTTAATTTTTGTTATATTTACCAATTAAGAGCAAAATTGAGGTTAAAATTTTCCGTCTTTTCACCAATATTAACGTCACTCAGATTTGTCCCTAAAAATGAGAAATGTAACTTTACTTCTTCACCTTGTCACCAATATCAACATCACCCATCTTGATTCTTTTATTAATTATTTCTTCACTAAACCTGTCCAACTGATCAATTCCCTTTTATTAACCAACAACTTTGGTTAAGATATTGGCAGTAAATGTTAAATGTTAAAGTGCAAAATCTTATTTTGACATGTTTAGTTATGTCTTCCGGCAACTCCACCGACAACTAAATCAGTCAAAGAATGTGAGCATTGGTTTAAAGGATGATGTTTATTTCTCTTTTGTAATTAAGGGGATTTTGTAGTGAGTGTGTGAACAATAAGAGATGAAAATCTTCGTCATGGAGGTTTATTTAGACTCAAACGTATTAATTGTGTTGGTTTCCTCTGCAGGTTCCTTCGAGGTTACAACCATCCTGGGTGGTTTCCAGATCAACATGACCAGTGCTCCCACTGGTGACTACATCATTTCCATTTATGAAAAAGGCCTAAAAGTTCCTGAGAAGGAATTCAAGATCTTCAACAAAACCTCAGCATGGTCAGAACAAATCAAACATCTGAAGCCCTGTACTGAATATGAGCACAGAGTGGAACTTGTTCACAGTGATGGGAACACACTCTGTAAGAGCCCTGAAAATAAAACCAGAACTGGAACACCTGTTAGGGGTGAGTAAAAATACTGTTCTGTTATGCGTATCATTTTCTTTGATTTCATTAAATTACACTTTTAATGCAGAACAGAAACATTTTAACATGTTTATTTTAAACTGAAGGTGACATTAAAGATGCCTTCAACTACCCCGGACATGTTTGTTATGAAAGTGACTGGGACATCAGCTCTTCATTGTCAAAAACATTTGATCAACATGACATTCGAACACTTTGCTTCAAACTCTCGGATAAAGACTTCTGCTCAGATTTTACTCTAAATGTCGCTCCTGAAAACTGTGTGAACTCCTCCTTTACCGTGACTAAACAAATCACCACCGGTACGTACAGAGAGCTCAAACTTTCCTCTCAACTCGGTCTTCTTTGAAACTGATTGGATCCGAATTTAAGGTTTGTTGTATTTACTTTTTCATAGATTTTCTAAATCCAGATGACATCGATCAGCCTAATCCCACTGGACTTCCTGCACAGATAAATCAAAAGTTACCTCCAAACTGTAAAAATCTCACTGTGGATTACAGCTGTTCAGGTGAGATGACCACAAGTAAAGACCTCCAGCATCAGTGAAAGTATGAGAAGATCTACATGGTTAAGATCTGTGGCAGAACATTTTAAATAATATAATGATAAACTATAAAAGATCTGATTGATACAATGATGTAAAAAAAAAAGTGCTTATTTTCACTGTTAACTGTTGACATTTAAAAAAAAAATCTCTGAATGAGTCTCCAGTTTATAAATAACTGAGACACAAAAAGTGTTGGAGAAGAAATTATGTCTTCTATTTGTGTCCTCAGAATCCTCAGTCAACCACTCCATAGATATAACTGAGCTGGAGCCTTTCACAGATTACACGTGTACAGGTCTGATAAAAGACAACGGTGTCTTCATCAATAAAACAACTCGTCCTCTCAGCTTCAAGATCGACTGTGGTACGTTAATGCTTATTTTACCTCAGTGGAGAAAATGGCCTAACCTCACTCACTTTGGAGTCACATGAGTTCATGAAACAGATGAATCTGCTGTTTTCAACAGATCTCACAACAACCTACAAAACCAAAGCTCTTACCAACATTTCCACTGAGCTGGTTCTGGAAACAACCAGTAAAAACTGTCCAGACGTCTCAAATCTGAGGAATCTTTCTTATCACTTTTCAGATGTTTGCCAATGTGAAAGTAAGTCAAATTATTAACATGATCTTTAATCGTTTTTTTAAGAGGACAATGTAGTTTGAAGAAGTTTGAAGTCTGGACAATGAGGCCAGGGCAGCCCAGAGATGTGGGCAGTTTCTGCTGGTCATGTGTTGGACAGCACACCCTGAAGTTTGGAGCATGAGGACCAGACTCAGTTCTCTGCAGCAGCAGGGACTCAGTAGTGGTTTGATGGTTCATAATGTGGAATTCTGTTTGTTTCTGTGACTTGAAGCTGAGAATGAGTCAGTTTCTGTCTTTTTATGTTGACCTGTAGTTAAATCAGTGATGAAGCAGCTGATGAAAACTTATGCTCCATTTAAAGATGACCCAACTCCACCTGGAGGAACATGTAAAGTCACTGGACTGACACCATTCACGAAAAATTTGTGTGAAGTCCATCACAAATACAAAAACAGGACACTTAACGGTTCTCAGAAACATGAATGGAAGACTTTGCCTGGAAGTAAGTGATCATTAAAATAATCTTTGTAGGAAAGTTCTTGTCCAGAACCTTTTACACCAACAGCTTCCACTGTGTGATCATTCAAATAAATCACATTCATTCAGAGTTTGCGTTGGATTGAGTTGAAATGGAAAAGTATTGTTTTCTACTTTTCTTTTTCTTTTGATGGAATTTCAGATAAACAAATCTCAATCAAGATAAATTTAAATGAAACTATTTATTTGTGTGTCATGAATTCCTTTATTTTCATTTTCTTGCAGCACCAGAGGATATCGGTGATTTGACCGTGGCTCAACCAGATAACAATGTGATAAAAGTAACCTGTGCTTATAGCGCCAATGGTTTCAAAGGACCTGAGAGGAAGTTCACAGCACGTCTTCATAATGTTGATGGCAGCCAACAAACTAAAAGAGAATGTAGTTTTGAATTCAAAGATCTGAGTTACCCGACAACCTACACAGTGGAGGTTTGTATTGTTCTACTTTGTAATTTGGCACGAAAATTTAATTTAATTTTTGAGTTTTCATTCTATTTTTAACCTCTGTCTTCATAGGTGGTTGCTGACAACGGTGATTTAAAGAGCAAAGCCTCAACAGTAGCAATTCAAACTTCCTGTACGGGCCTGTTTATTTGATTCTTCAGTGCAGCCAAAATATTTAATTTCCTCTGCCTCTTCAGCTTTATTGTCATCTATTTATCTTTAACATAAAGTCTCTGCTTTTTCCTACATTTTTCAGATAACGACAAAGCTCTCATGGGGTTTCTGGTCTTCCTCATGATCCTCGCATTTGTGGCTCTTCTTGTGCTCGTCTACAAGATCAACTTCTTGAGACGCAGAAAGTCTTGGTACTGAGCCTTCTTCATGTGGTCCTCTGGCTTAGTTTATGATGTTACAACATCTATTAACCTGCACAACTGTCGAAATGTCCTAATTTTCTTATACTATGCATTGCACTTCCATTTATTCTTGAAAAGGGAGGAAATATTCCGGTTTTAAAATCCTCAAACAGCAGCAGCTATTGTACAGCATATTCTAATGCTCACTGATGCAACATGATTGCTGCTTTCTCATGTAGTTTATGTTATGGTGGCGGAACAAAGAAACTGAGATGAAGACAGACCTCATGGTGATGCAGACCAAATCACCAGTTTGTGCCTCTTTGCCAAGTTCCTATTTTTTTTTTTTTTTTAAGTTGAAATCAAATCTTAACATCTAATAATAATGCTCATTTCTTTTCTTTGAATTAAAAAAAAAAGTTGCAAATAAATCTTTGGTTGTGTGTGTCATCTGTGTCAACTCTTTAAGCTTTTTACACAATGTCATACCGTTACCCAGAAATATGCATATGAAACAGACATTTATGAATTTAAAGCAGAAAAAAAACATTCAGCTGAACGGATATACGTTGGAATACAAATGTCTATTTTGGTCCTTAGTGTGAATATTTGGTTGCCTTTTGAGGAAATCTTTGGGGGGAAAAAATTCACTTCAAAGTCCAAAAGGAAGTTTGAAAGCTTTATTACATTTTGTTTGCATACAAGCCGTTTGTGATATGGGCGTTTCACTTGACACGAAATGCTGAGGAAGCAACTAAAGAAACCAAGACAATAAATATTAACTGCTAATATTTTTCCTTACTGGACTCTTCAATACCAACATCAGCGGCATGCAAAAAACAAAAAACAAAAAAAAAGGCAAAGTAAGCACAGCTAAAAGGCTGGGACACAGAAAAGCATACAGTACAAACAGACGAACATCAAGAAATAGCCGTATTCCTTAAAGTGACTTAGCTCTGTGTGTATTAAACATCCCCTCGGTAAGGATAATGATTTTTAAAATCTTACGTAAACAGGACACATAACCATTTCTCCTCATGTACAGCCTGTTTTCTTTTAAGAAACATGCTGCTTTGGTTTTGTAGGTGCTTCAATTCAAAATGCTAAATAGTAAAACTATTAGTGGCCGTGTCCGGATTCTAATGTCGAGATCTAAATGTTCTCTTCCCTGTGCCAATTATGACCTCCTGGACCAAATCAAAACTAAAACAACTAAAAAGTGCTTTATCAGCCCCCAGATGAAACACCAGAATACTGAAATGTGTTGGTTACAAAGGACATTCTTGTTTAGAGAGCATTACCAGAACATCCGCACAGATGATGAAAAATAAATTTAAAAAGGAAAAGAAGCCCTAACGTGGGAAGAAACTGTTCAAAGTCTGTCAGAGGACACCGTACAGGAGCAAAATGTAATCACATTCCAACAAAAACGGAAACACTACTTTTTGTAAACCTGTTATTAGCAATTCATGGTGACGACCATCATTGTACGACACATTGTGACAGTTTTAGATGCAAAGTAAACAGGCTATAGGGTGTTTTTTTCTCATTCCTTTAATAAGGGCACCATTAGAATTATATGAGCCAGTGATTGTCAGTGCCTCTCTTAATCTTTAATTATGGCTTTAAAAATCTCCATCTTGACCTCATCTTGGGCTGTGTGTGCTGCAAACACCTGTGTCTGCGAATCAGCCCGGAGCACAGAGGAGAGGGGGGCCCCACGAGCCAAATCCTCAACACTCGAGGAATTCAAACTGAGGAGTGCATTCTATTTTTCTTTTTTTTTTTAAGTTCTCCAGCTCATAAAAACAAACACCCCTGTGAAGCTCGGAAATCGTGGCGCTCTGTACAGTCCCGGCCCGCTATGACTCAGCGGGTTCCGTCGCCATAGTCATCAGACCTGACGCCACGGCTGAGATCAGTGGGGCTCGTACGGCAAGCTGAAATCCTCCAGTGCCCGGCTGCCTTTGGGCAAACGGAGGTGCAATCCGGGCATGGATGGCTACACAAGGAAAGGGTTTCCTATCCCTCGTCTGTTACCTTTGAAGACACATACACTGCATCGCTGTCTGAAGTTAGACGTGCCTTCTGATGGGCCAAATGCACTCACAGGCTTTCCTCTTTTTACTTTTTAACCATTTGATGATTTTCTATTCTCCTAGGAAACCTCTCACTTTAAAGAAGAGGCCTATAATTAGTGTGGCTGAGCCAAGGAGGCAACATTTGAGTGTCCACAGGTAAACGGGAGATATATCACAGCCTCCGTGTCAACACGGCTGTAAAAAAGGAGACACTCCGGAGCCTCCGGACCGTTCTGAGGAAGGCCAGATGATTAACATTCAAAGTGCGGTGAAGACATTTGCCCATGTTCACCAACGAGCACATTTCCAACCTACTCTATGAGATCCTTCCTTTTTTTCCCCCAAATACATTCAATAAGCACAAACCCTCTGTTTTCTCACCAAGTGAAAACCTCTAAGCTCAAACTTTAGAAAAGTTTCCATCGATCTTCTTTTGTTATCAATTTTCCCTATGTGACACTGAAGGCCGAACTAAACAATATTTAGCTGAATGGACTTATTTCTAAAATAATGATTACTGAATAATCAAATGAAGTCAAACTGAATTGTCCTCTTTTATCTAATTTAAAAGGTACTGCGCTGTAGAAGAGATGTTTTTTTTAGGAATAAAGAACAGAGCAGGAAGATTTTGGGTGTTAAGTTATAACTGATGTTAGAATAGCGAAGAGTAGAGACGGAGTGTGAGGGCCTTACTTTTGCTTTCTTGGTACAATACTGATGGCTGTCAAAAACATATTGATGGCAAGTGTGGCATTCACAGCTGTGAGGTGGATGTATCAGAAGAAATAAAAAAGATTTTTAAAAAAGGGCAAATGTCTAAGTCGAAAAAACTGAAAGATATCCAAAATCTGATTATCTGGATTGGTGAATATTTGGATTCAGCCCTTGAGCCATTAGTTTTATGGACTGTACCTCAATAATAAAATATGTGTCTTGGACCAATCAATCCAAGAAGCAAAACTTTAGAGCAAGTTTTTTCTTTCTTTTTTTGTTAAAGAAAAGCCAAAAGATGTTCTACGAAATCCAGAATGAAAAGCGAGAGGGGACGTTAGGACAAGTTCTGCAAGGCATTTTGGGGGGGGGGGGGGGTTAGTAACTCTGGGCTTAGCTGCCCTGTGTCCTGTTCTGCATGTGTTTGGCAATGTCATAGACGTAGGTGATGTCTGGCCTCTTCTCCGGATCAGGGTTGATGCACATATCTACCAGGTTCCTCAGCTGACGAGCGGGGTGGGGGGGGGAAAGAGAAAACAGAAATAATAGTTAATGACACTGAGCTCACACCAGACTGTCGGTTTTGAAAGAGAAGCATCCTGAGGAAAGGAACAAACACATTCTGGGTGCGCTAATCGCCTCTTGGTCTGCTGAATCCACTTTCTCCCGAGCTCACACAGGCACAACCACTCCGGCGGCCGCACCGCTCGGCTTATTTGAGCGGGTCGACAGGTTCACGGGCGAAACAGCCACGGATATCGTTAAAAAAAATAAATAAATAGACGATAATAAGAGATGGAAAAGAATGAAGAACAAGGTCGCTATGGTAACTGTCTGTCGACTTCCTGGCCGCTGTTGCATGGCACCGATTTCTCATCAGCCGCTGTGTACAAATGTGTGTGTGTGTGTGTGTGTGTGTGTGTGTGTGAGACAGAGAAAGATGCAAATTCAGACAGTCTGAGAATTAGTTGTAGCGTGGAGATGGGGGAGCGCAGAGATGCAGATATGTAAAATATTCATGCACTCCTTTGCATGGTGAGTTGGGTGGGGGAGTGTCAGGTGGAGGGGGGCGGAGGGTAGGAGCCGGCGAATGAAGGCGGAGGGGGGGCATAGACGGAGATGGTTAAATGACACAACAAAGATGAGCAGCTGACAGTTTGCTGCCGATCCTTCAGGAGCATTGTTTACATCCAGACAGGCGCTGCAGGCACCCCCCTCATCTCCATTTCTCCATCGCCCTGTCTCTCGCTCTATCATTCCCGCTTTCTTTCGCTTTGTCTTCCTTTCTCCGGGATGGGGGTGACATGTGGGGTAACGCTGAAGCTCAGAGTCGTGTGTGTGCAAAGATAGCTCTTGAAACAAAAATACACATGCACAATTTCTCTTGCAAGTGTAGAAACAAAACGAAAAAATATATATAAAAAGAGAGAGAGACACCACTGAGGCCTGAAAGGCTTCACAATTAGCCTTCATCAGCCTAATGAAGTTAATGCCCTCGTACAATAACAGCCTCTCTCAGCGGGCTTCGCTAGATGACAAAAGCTCTTTAAAATGACCACAGAGAACTTTACTATGTACACATAGTGGCTGGAGAGGGAAATGTTGCTCAACAGGAAAAGGAATTTCCTTTTCTTTTTTTTTCAAACAGAAGTGACTGAAAAACTGAGTGCAAGGCCAATTAAATGCTAGGAGCAATTAAATGTTAATAATTTGTGTTGGTTAGTTAATGGTGGACGCTTCGCACATTGAGAACACTTTATCGCATCTGTTCTGAGGTTGCTGGATTTATGTGCACATAAACATTTAGACCTTCCCGCAATCAGAAAAAGATGACTAATGGCATAACAAGTTCAAAAACACTTATCTTTGTCAAACACATTACATGATTTAAAAGTTGATCCTCACTGATGATGCAAATCAGTGTTAAAGAAGGTTAAGATATAAACAATCAAACAAATGTACCAACTGAGCAAGCTTAGTTGTGCCTATAAACAAGCACAGAGCGATTGTGAGGACACTTATTCCACATCTCTGTGTAATTAGTCAGTGTCAGAGGTTTGCCTGCATGAGCACTGGATTGAATACATTTAAGGTAAGGGGATAGGAAAAATGCCATCCGCACAAAAAAGGCAGGCGAACACAGAGCCATGCAAAAATTCATACACATGCCAAAGGTAATCAACAGTGAGACTATCTTTAACCACAGTCTGACTGCGCTGGGTTTTTTGTGCAGGGGAACGCTTCCAAAGAATTACACAAGATGATTTAACGTTAATTTAGGGAAACATGACTCTCCATTTCACTTAGTTTAACCCTGCTCTCAAGCATGACCACATGCTTTTGATATGCGCATTTTGTTTTTCAGTTAAAATCGTTGCCAGGCTTTTGATCACACAGTAACATCATACACTGTACTGTAAGCCCATGGAGTTGGGTGGGTTCCACTTACATAAAAAGAAAGAAATAAGTGAATTATCTAGAAAACCATTTCTATCAGCAAAAATCAGGCAAAAGAAAGAGAAGCCAATCACATCTATTGAAAACAGCAGTCCAGTTATGGGTTTGTCATCTTTGTTTAAAGGGTTTTTAGGAATAAATGCTATTGTGGGTTACTGTTAAAACACTGAACAAAACAAAACAGAACAACACACTGAGTCACAGCAGTATAAAACGACGGAAAACACTCGTAGAGCTTACCTCTTCTGAGTAGTGATCTGAAGGAAGAGGGGGGTAGTCACACTGTTCTATCTTCTTGCAAAGGGAGTAGAGGTTCATCTTATCCCCGTAGAAGGGACTCTGTAAGGCTGCCATCTAAAGTGCAGAGATGTAAAGAAACATGGAGGAGGCGCATAGAGAAAAAGGGGAGAAAAGAGGATGAGCGGGCATGAGACTGAGAGGATGAGAAGGGAAGTTAAACACCCAATCAAACTCAACAGGTGGCACCAAGGACGCTGCGGTGTGTGTTAACGGCAGCGCCGGCACACTTTACAGCCTCCGAGGTGCAGGACTTAAAAGGATGGTGTTGGAGGGAGAAACAAATAAAAACAACAACAAACTAAAAGTTTTCTCAAGTTTGGTCTCTCTGTTGAATCAGTACACCCTATTTCTTTTTTTAAGGTTAAACAAACCCCCCCCAAAATCCAGCTAAACCATCCTGTAGTTCATGTAGTTTTCCTGGAGCACTCCGGCCTCCTCTTTAATACCACTTTGAAAGCCTAAAGTTGAAAAAGAGAGGAGAGACGGAGCTGAGAAAGTGAGAGAGGGGCGTGGGAGAAGAGGGGTGAAGGGACGCTTGAGGAAAGAATTTTTCGGTTTGCTGGAGCCGCAAGAAAACTGTATTTTCCAGAAAACAAATGCAAGCAAGCCGAGCGGTAGGGGAGAACGGGGGAAGAGTGGAAGTTTGCTGCCGAGTGGAAGCAGGTCAAGCATCCTTTCTGCTATTCTGAGGATGGAAAACTAGCGTGGCATTTCTTTTTCCAAGGACGACGACTGACTGGCCTTACATTACCTCAGGGGGCACGTGCGAGACCGAACCCACAGCAGGCCGGAACAAGAAGCGCACTGGAGGCTCAGAGTTCCTCCTCACAGTCCGGTGCTTTCTGAATGTTTAGCCATCATCAGCAGCAGCGATAATTAAGTGCTAAGAGGAGCCAAGCTTGTTGTGTTGTTTTCAAGAGAAATTTATGAATGATGGCTTCTGGTAACTACACTGCAACCGCAGCATAAATGGAGTTTCTTTTATTAGGTATTCCAAGATAGTCTTATGAAAAGAGATGCAGTATTAAATATGTATAAGTACGATGTATGTGAAATCCGTATTCCATGCAGTGTGTCTGTTTTAAAGCAGGGGGCTATAAAAGTGGGGGAACACACTACAGAGAGAAAAAAAATTCTGATGAATGTTAAAAAAGGGATTTAAGCCAAACTAACTCTTACTCAGTGGCTGCAACTTAGCTCAGGCTGGCTATGCAAGCCCAGAGCAGAAATGCTCCTGAACGTTGAATTTGTTCATTTTGGGGAAGTTAAAGCAAATTCTCTCCCAGAGGCATAAAGGCGCATTTTGAAAACAGAAAAAAAGAAATAAACAAATCATTGGTAATCAATGGAGAGATGAAATTTTACACGTTATCTCAACAACAGTTTTTCAGCTGTCCTGAGATCATTTTGGAGGGAGACGGTAAGTGTCTGACAGTGTGCTAATTGGTAGAGAGAATGGAGATGAGGATGAATGCAAATAGCATCCTACCACACGGAACGCGGGAGCTTTATGACAATGTGCGATATTCTGCGCCACGCGCTACGTCGGGAACATATCCGTGCGAGGAGGACCAATAGGAAACAAGGGGCTGCAAAACAGGGGGATGTGATTCAGCTAGAACACAGCGACTGAGCCCGCCGATGGATTTGCACCAGACAGCTCAGGACAAAACTGCTCATCCCCTCTTTTTAATTGCCTGCCTACATTCAGCTCTTTCACTTCTTCTTGCAGAATAGTGAACGGAAACAAAAGAAAATTAAATAAAAACGCACTCCCTTGAGTCATCATCTCATCGGAAAAGCTTAAGGATCCTGTAGGATGGCTACTATTTCTGTTTTCAGTGACGAATGCGTCAGGCCCTGATGGTGCAGAGGCAGAGACGTATATGTGCTGACTTGGACAGGCTTTGACAGAGTCTCTGTCAGCGCCACCGGCGGACAGCCGAGACGGCAGAATCGCAGTGGGCCGACCATAACCGTCATTTACCATCGCGCAGTCATCGGCGCTCTTTGTCAAACAGACACATTAATCCTCCACTGCCAGGAGAAAACACACAACAACATTAAGAGAAAGAGTCCCCTGTATCCATCTTCCCTCTGCCTCATCTCAAAGCATCACTTCTGAGGCTGGCACAGCGGGTGGCTGACAGTGATGAGATGTGTTTGGAATGTGGATTTCCTGAGCGTGTCAGCGATGATATACTTCCATTAGTAATAAAGCTTCACATCTGTGAGCTCGGATTTCAAGTCTGATTTTACAGTATTTAAACATAACCACATACGGTCATCAAGAAAAGCTTTAAAAACTGCATTATACATCACAGGAATGAGGTAACCACTGGAGACGAGGCTGATTGCATTTGAAGATTCCGCTAAACAAAGCGAACATCTTTGGTATCGACACGATATTTCCCATAAGATTAAAGGCCATCAACACGCTTTAATCCGAATTATGTCACTTTAAGTAACTTAAACAAACTGGCATATCAGTATCATATTTATATATATACACATGGTATTAAATGGTTAGTGTTACCTCTCTTCCAAAATAACAAGATAATCCCACAATTAACTCCAGCAGATTAAAAGGTATCTTCTCAGATCGACTGTAAAGCTTCAGGATTTTGTTATTTGCCACCAGTGTCAATGGACCCCTCATCAATTCTGGAACTGAGAAACTTTCCATCATGTCAACAAGACAAGACAGCTCTAAAATGAACCAAATAAATAAATAATAAGAGGAAAGTGCCAAATGGACTCTGACTCTGCTTTTCTTTTCTTTTTTTTTTAAGGGCTTTTTGTTGTAAAAGCTTATTTTGGTGTCTTGTTGAGGGCCATGTGGAAAACATTCCTAATTGCTTTGCAACAAAGGTATCGAAGTGTTCGCATCCTCAAAAACAGAGATTTCTCGATAAGACAGATTGGGGGGGGGGGGGGGGGGGAAGTGGGACAGAAAGAGAGGGGGGAAAAAAAGAGAGAAAGAAAAGCAGGCAGCTACAGACACCAGGAGGCTTAAGGGTTAAACAAGACCCCCTCGTATTTTCATGCATCTTCTGCTTTTGACAGATGAAAAATGTCAACTGTCCTGTTTGTATTTGGGAGTTTTTGCACTATTCATCTGCTTCATTAGTGCCTGCTGCTCCTAGCCCCTGACAGCTGCCGGCCCCCTGCTCTCAGCGAGTACACACACACACACCCACACATACACATACACACACACAAGCAGAAAGATGCATACCCAAACACACACAAAAAACACTCACACACACACAAAGACACTCTTGCTCTCTTTTTCAGACTGTGTCGTTGCAACGGTTTAGATGATTGACTCACTTTCTGACCTCTGAGGCCCTGGTGTGTGTGTCTGTGTGTGTGTGTGGGAGAGAGAGTGTGGATGCATGGTTCATTGATATTCGAGAGACACAGAAAGCACACGCATGCCTGCTGTCTGTCTTAGGGGTGTTAGCTGCTGGTGGCAGAACACACACATACTCACAATCATACGCAGGCACACACACACACACACAGATTTACACATTTGGATTTGTGGGGACACTCAGTGACATGATGCACTTATACCCCAACACCCCCCGCCCCTTACCTTACCTTAAACCAACCGGCATAAATACCAACGTAGTAACCATTACCTGAGCCTAACCTTAGCCCCAAAACCTAATCCTAGTCTGATCTCTTTGGAGCAGCACTGCAACGGGAGCATCCAGACTCATCATCCATTTGTCCAACACAGTGATCAGGGCTCACATTTGTAAAAATGCCTCCTGCGCTGACAAACTTCCCCTTAACATCAACATCATGATGTTTTTCTGGGAGCTGATGTGGCAGGCAGTAGGAGGAATGTGCACGTACGGACATTCATGTGACTTATTTGATAAGCAGGACATCTGGACTCTGCTGGCATGCCTAACTTCCTGATCATCAGCCACAGCTGAAGAAAGATGGCGTTAGATAGCAATTCTTTTCATCTAAAGTACTCTGGTGGACAGAGAAAAGTACATCCTCCTTTAATAGCAATTGCTTCATGTGTCCACGGATATAATTGGTCCTCAAAATGCTCTGCATTTGGCCAGGTTGGGCCTCCTCCCATCACCACATTTAAAGCTAGTGTAGTTTCAAAAGTCTGGATGGGGCCTTCAATTTTAATCAACACTGATCTCATTCTTTCTCACTCTGGCCTCTCCCCCTGGACCCCAATTAAAAGGAGCAGTATGAGGCAACAGTCCCCACCCCCCCAGCCTCCCTGGAGGCTTTACATCATGGGACCAACAGGCTTTTTACAACCTCACTCTTATTATTTATTGATAAAACCCACTTATATATTTATAGGACATCAAAATAAACACTTACATGTAATGCTATAGGGTATATGACAAAACTGATTTTATATTAGGTATATATCTATTCTGGGGGAGAAAAAAGTCAGTACATGAAATACATATATAATAAGTTTGATATGTCTTTTTTGTCTCGCACAAGACAATAATTGGACTCAAGTGTGGAAAGCATGACATTTCAAATGTGCTCATTGATCCTTCATGAGGCTTTATGATGATATATTAATCAAGGAAATAAGTCACAATGTTGGGACAGTCATTAGACGTATACCTACACCCAGCGGAATCATCACTGCTCTGCTCTAAATCACTAAAAAGGGAAGAACGAGAGGAGGAAAGTCATAGATGTGCGAGTTGAAAGCGCCAGATCTTTACAGGGGCCTGAACCTTTGAAGAAAACAGTTTAAGAATATTTTCTCATGTGCCAATCTCACAGCAGTGGTATTTGAATTCTGACTTTTAATGGAAATAGCTTAACATTTGTTTTAACATGCTCCTTTACTTAAATAAACACACAGAAAAGAACCATAAGGTGCCTACACAACATCTCATATCAAAGCTGTAGTCTTCGCTGTGTTCAGCTTCTATTGTTGAGCCCAGACAGTTGTGATGAGGGAAGATAAAGCAGCGCACTGCTGGTTGTTATTAGTTCTTTGAGGCAGTTTGGTGTATAAAAGGTGGTCACTCCGTGAAAACGGAAAATAGTCAAAGAGCAGTTCTCTGAGGGTAACACGAAGCCAAACAACTAAATAAATAGGTAACAAATGTTGATGTTAATGCGAATTCTTGCAAAACAGCAAAAACTAACAAAGGAGCAGTTCGCTTTAAGAACTATACTGGCAGAAATGAAGCAGGACAGCTCATCGCATGCAAACAGCAGCTGCTGAGAACCCAGCTTTTTGGGGTCTCATAAAACCGGCAGCAAAAGAAAAGGGAAAAAAAGAGCAGAGGGAATGGAATGAGGCAGGAGGCGTGAGACATGGGCACAGTAAGAGGTATGGATGCCTGGGCTCTATAAAAAGGAAGGAGACACATATTCCAGTAAAGCTTTAAGATATTATCCTCCTCTAACCTCATCCCAAACACAGGACGCACAACACGTCTGAGCAAGCAGGCAACCAGAACTCTGCGTGCGCGTGTGTAAAATGCATTTCCTTTACAGGAAACAGATTTAGTGCGTGAGAGTCACAAATCCAAATACTCCATGTGATGGTATTGATAGAGAACTTCTGAAGAGAGCACAAGGAGACCGCCGTCCCACTGACTGGTCTCCATGGGAGACAACCCAGGTGAGCATCACTGCTGACCACACAACAGTTGGTTTGGGTGAAGGGCACGGTTGGATGAAGGAAGGTTGGACATGTGGAAAAAAGGAGTCAAACAGAATGGGAGATGAGGATGGCCGTACATCCAATGACCCGGTATTGACAGGCGCACCCTTCGGACCTTAACTCAACCTCAGGGCGTAGCGATGAAAAATGCATGTTTGCTCAAATGGAGCCGTTTCATAAATAAGGAAGTCAACTCCCACGGATAACGACACGAGCACCGTGGCTGTGAAAACACCCCGGAACCAGCACAAAGTCATCCTCTGCTGTATGCTCTGAGTCAAATCAATGAGAGTCAAAGGGAGCGTGTTCTGTGTGAATTCCATATGCCTGAAGGTTAAATGAGGAAAAGAAGGCAGCAGAAAACAGAGAGGAATAGAGGACGGTTCTGAGAAAGAGATAAGTTTCCCGACACTGAGTGCATTGTAGAGCCCTCTTACCAAGATAACGAAAGCAGGAGCCTGCTCTTCAAAGAGAATATGCATGGCCTGGTGAGCGCTGCTCTGGTAACAATAAGACTGTAAAATCTTCAGGCTTCTTGCATGGCTCACCTTGACCTGATGGCTGGAGTTCTGTCTATGCTCTTGTACCTCTAACAATTTCTCTCTGAACGAACACCCCCCATCTTCCACTCCACTCCCGCAATCTATAACCCTGCTCTTGCTATTTGTTATTCTCCCTTCCCACTTCTTCCCCATCTCTGGCCTTCCATCTCCTTTCGTTTCGCTCTCATATGACTTGTATTGCCTGTGCCCTCAGCCAACTCCGACTCCTGGTATAAACTCTTAAACTTTTTCACCTTAAATCTTTATTCTATGCCGTTTGACCTCCTCAGGGAGAAACAAGCCTCATCTATTTTCAACACTTTTGCTCTTCCAGATGTCTCCCTCTGCTCCCCCTGTCTCTGGTCTCCGTCTACCTTTTTCGCTTTTACACCCAGATTGCAACTAAAATGTGAAAATATATTAAAGGGCAATGCACACTAATTGAAGCTGAAGCTATCAACTCTAAGTCTGCACATTCGGCTCTACGACAATTGCAGTGCATAAAGTAACACGTCAGGGATTTGAAAAAAAATACTACAGACAGAGTCGAAACAAAACCCAACTTCAACAAAAACCAACCAGATTAATGAGACCTTCGTCAAGCAAACCCTTCAGAGCTATTGTGAATGTACATTCATGACATGCATGTCTATAAAAAAAAAACAGTGGCGAAACATGGAAACCTGATCTTTAGAAACAGCTTGCACCTTTCACACAAACGCGCAGCCCACATATAAAATGCACTTAAAAATTAAAAATAGGACTGGCTGCACCCACTGTTTTTCAGCCAACCATGGCCATGCATTGCCGTGATGCATTGTGGTGAACAAATTAGCATGTAGGACTGTGGTTTCTGAGCAACCATGACCTGCAGGCTGAGCTCGAACTTCTTCCTTGCACGTTCTCCACCTCTATGCCTGAGGCGCTGTAGAGAAGGTGTACTCAGTGGTGCGTTGAAATGCAGCCCAAATGATCAGCGACTCGGGGGAATTGGTGGAGAAGAGGGGAGGAAAATGTGGGCATTTCCTAGGCCGACAGTCTGTTTCTGAATTTCTCTGTGTAGTCAGAGCACATGAAAGCTGGCAAGGAGCAATGTCAGATTGACTGCTATCGTCCATGTCCATCACTCTTCTGCTTCTCACTCTTTCTTCTTTGTTCCCTCTGCTGTGTGGTCTCCTCGTGGGCCTGTCTGCACGCAGTGTGGTCCACAACAGAGCCCTGCGGTGTTTAGCTCCAGACTAATCAAACTAGTCAGTGTCACTGCGCAGCCTTATCTAAAACACATGGCCATGTCAGTTCCCTTCAATCCCCGGCTTTTCAATGTTCAGCAGGTTCAGGGTTTAAACAGTGCTAACACGGAGTCTAAACGTCCAAGCTCAGACAGAGCACAGATTTTTTTAAAAGGACTTAATGTCCTGAGACAGACCATTTTAATACTTTGTTCCTATAGACCCCCCTTAATTATATGTGAATTAAAATATAGTTTAACTACATGAGAGATTTTGGGTCTTAAAAATACATGTGTATATTTTAAAATCACCTCACTTCCACATTTTACTGCAAGGGGACACTGAGCACACATCCCCACAATTTACCTCATACAGAAGGCATCCTAGTGACCAGATGTCAGATTTGAAGTTGTAGCCATTTTCGTGTATCCTCTCAGGTGACATGTAGTAAGGGGTCCCCACTGAAAGACAAAGGCAGGAGGAGGAGGATTGAAAGGAGAAGAAGGGGGAGGGGGACAAGAAGAATCAGAGGTAGAAGAAGAGAGAAGGACAAAGAGTAATTAAGCCGTGGCATTTTTATTGCAAAATCATGCTCTTTTGTGCGTTTCAAACAAAGTTCAATGCAACAACATACAATATCGTTAGGCCCGGGACTGCTCCACGCACCAATGCAACTGCAGCAGTTCTGTTCTACAAAGCTGCATTCATATGTGCAAAAAAAAAAAAAACACACACACACACACCCAAAATATACATAAATCAGTTTTGATTAGTGGAGTTCAGTAATGATCTGAAACAGTAGTCAGAGAATACGCTCAGGGAGAGGCAGCGGTGCCTTAAAAGCTGGCCCGTTTTTGGTCCTGGTTTTGAAACCCAAGAATCCCAAACTGTGATGGCGAATGGCACCGCTCCAGAAAATCATACCATCACCCAACGGGACACAAAGAGGAGCCACAGCACCGCGTCACATCCAGGACTCACTGCAGGAAACTCAGGAGACTTGCTCTTTTCTCAGCCCGGTTTGACTGGCTGCTTTTATCATCTGCTTTCTGTTTATTGTGATTTCCCATGTAAAAGTCCATCAAGCAAATCCAGCCAAGGATTTTTATTGATCACATATGGTTAAAGGATGGCAGTCTCACCAGCAGTCAGTGGAACCTGTGCTGAGAACCCCTCTGATAGCTCTTATTTCACATTCTTGCAAGAAAAAATCATGAAAATGGAGGCTCACTAAAAGATGAAGATATAAGCTATAAAAAGCTGCTGAGTAAGCAAATAATCAGCATCATGTTGCTTCCTTTTGTATGGTTATTTATCATGCTACAATACCTACATGCTCATCCATTTAAGACTTATTATACATTTGTTACATAGGAAGCGTGAGCAATGTCTCCACTGAGCCATTATGCATTTTCACATCTTATAAAAGATCTGAAGGATTATGGTTCAAAACTCTCTTACATTCCTTTATCTAAAATTGATTATATAAATATGAATAATTTTGGAGTAATTTATAATTTGACAAAAAACAGTCTGTGGGAGATGACATCTGGGTTTTCTACAGTTCAGAAGTTCATGTGTCTTTCCAGTCAGGACAGCATCTAATTCAGTGACAGGTATATTTGTTTGTTTGTTTTTCATATAACCCAGTTTTTCCCTGTGAGTGCATTGGGGGGAAAAAAAGCAAAAAGAGTAACAGGAGAGGAAAGAGTTTTTTTATGGATGGTAACTGGTAGCAGTTGAGTTTACAATTCACCCAAGCAGCTGAAAAGATCTGGATATGTGAGAACAGCTCTCAAGTGGAAAGAACTCAGGAGGAAAGACCTCAAGAGGAAAGTCATGAAAGTAATGGGGAAAAACCATAACTGCACATTCCCTTACAATGTGAACATGTGCACACGCACGCACACAGCCTCTGGAGCCGTTGTGCACATTAGCAGGTCTGAAGAAGCTCAAATAATGTAAGTGCAATTAATAAAAGCATAATAGTGGGAGGCATTAGAGAAGAAGTCTACAGGAACTGAAATGAAAGCTAACACTTTTAATTTTGGTGCAGATCTAATTGGGTTGAGAAAACAAGCTTTTATCCTAAATGTGTGATTTTGAATAACGAAGTGTTACCTGTCATTCTAGAAATAATCAGCAGCTACAGCAGCACAGAAGAAGCAAAAAAAAAAAAAAAAAAGGGCAACTGGAAGAATAGAGGATGCCGGGGACTGCTGTTTTAATTGGTCATCGCACTGGTGTTGGGTTTGTGAGCCTCCTTCTGTGCGTGTGTAAATGTATGTGTGGGATATGTGAGGTCTCATGGTGCAGTCTGATCAGGCTCCCCTAACATTCATTATTAGTTGATTAAAAGAATCAGCCTCTCTTATGCTAATAGTTGCATAAAAAGGCAGCAGCGCTGGGCTCAGGCTCCTTCAGCGAGCTGAATTAAGGGCACATTACTTATTCATGCAAATAAATTGAAAGTCATGTTGGGATTGATTTCCATTATTGTGAATAGTAAAGACAACACTATTTTCTCTGCATAACAGCATAAGGTTTGTTGAATGGGAGGTGAAATGCCATCCACTACAAAGAACTCCACGCTTCAAAACCAATGCTGATTGACAGTAAAATGAACAAAACTTGTCCCATTTTAAGTGCACTATTGATCTGATGCCATTACTACACAGCTCTTTAAACCTGAAGCTCTTAGTTTCTGTTCAGAAACTTTCTCTTGCCTTTGCACTGTTACTAGTTAGACATTTCAAACAGCATTCCAAAGGCTATGACTGAATTTCTCATTCAGACCACCTTAAGCCAGACAAAAACCTAAACAGTAATGTATCCTGACTGGAATGTCAATAGATGATAGTTTGTTTAGGTAATGTTAATAATATCTAATTATTCATTTTTTTGGCACGTCCATCTGAGTCTCGTTTCCAGTTTGTCTCTCATTTTTCTCTGCTCCTTATTACCTTGCTTGCCTCTAAGTTTTTAAATTAATTTCTATTATAACATCATTTCCAACATGAACCAAATCAAATGTGACTTCCGCGCTTTCCCTCAGTGCCTATCGTTAACACCTTCCTCATTACAGGTGTTAATTGCTAGTATATTACATTACGTATTACACCACTTGGCAGTAACGTGTAGTAAGTTGTTCAATCCTGCAATGCCTGGTTAGTGTTCCTGCTGCTTTGACTCGTTACAGGAAAGCTACATATGCATCCACAGCAGCAAAACCGTATATTTCATGTTTGCATTTCTCATATCTGTTTGCATTATCAGCCTCCTGCCTTGGAATGCGGGAGGCATAGAGGGGTGGCTTGCAGCAAATTTTAGATGAATTTCCACAACATTGTGCCCCCGTGTGAATATGTATGTACAGAGGTATAAATGTATATGAGACAAAAATTCGCTCACTGTGTGCAGTGATTGGATTAAAAAAAAAAGTGTGTGTGTGTGTGTGTGTGTGTGTGCGCGCGCGTGTGGGTGTGTGTTGGTCTGTGGATTGCAGAGCAGCTGAGTTGAAAGCCTTGGAGCTGACAGGCTGTATGCCTGGACCTCCATCTCAGCTCCACCACCCCACTCCTCTGTTCGGCTGGGCTCGTTACATGCCCACACGATTTCCTCCACACACACACCCGCACGCACGCACGCACACACAAAGTCTCAATGGCCGTCTTTGCGAGGTCATTCTATGACATCATGCATTCTTTAGTTCCTTACCTTGACCTTGGCCATCACAGGAACTTGACTAATCACAACCTTCACCTAAACCTCTCCCTAACCTTAACAATAAAACCTTATGCTCCACGTCTCCATTTCAAGCAGACAAAACGAACAGACTAAATGTCCTCACTTTTCCAAAATATTCTCAATGGCACGACCAAAAAAAACTCAAAATGTCTCTCACGAAAATAGTCTGACACGGTTTCCCCTTCAGCTTTTCTATACCTCCCTTTCTTTTTCTCTTTTTTTTCAGTCACACTGTCATTCTCTCGCTTTTCCCAGCTCCTTCTAGCTTTTCTTTCTCTGCCACACTCCTTTCTTGTACGTGATACATTCAACGTTTTTTTTTTCTTCCATTTCTTTGTCACCCTTTTTCTTTCCCTTATGCTCCTTTCTCTTTGTGACATCTTGCTATCCTCTTTCCCCCTCATTTCAATCTGTCTTCTGTTCTCCCATTCCTGCTTTCTCACACCTTCTCCATCGCTCTCCTTCACCCACACCGTTGTCTTTCTTTGACTAAAAGTCAAAGCACCAGAGGGAGGGACAGCAGGGAGGAGAGGTGACGACAAGTTAGGCACAGACACAGCAGCAGGAGAGAAGGAGAGGTGACAGAGAAGATCTGCTATTTGAAACGCACAGCAAGAAATGTCAAGGGGGACGCGAGGGGAGAGGCGAAGCACAGAGCACCCCGAGTCCCTCGTGTCAGCAGGTCATGATAACCTGCACATGTCTGAATATCAGAAATAAGGTCCCAAATTACTGGCATGCTTTAAGTGCATCTTAATGGAAAATACCACCATCAAATTATGAATGTTCTTTTTTTTTTTTTTCGTAATTTGAAGTTATTGATGCCTGCAAGCCCATTGTATCAGCTTTTGCAAAGTGAAGCATATGAAGTGGCACGGCCTGCCTTGTAGTCAAGTCTGAGGCGGTATGAGACTAACGCTGAACACCTTGACCCGTGTTTGCTGGGCTGCCTGTCCTCTGTCAGCCTAAAGAGGGTGCTGTGGACTCAGCTTTTAATGAGCATTCACAGAAGCTCTCACCCTACTGTTCTGGCACCATGAGATGTTCAGTTGATGGGAACTCTGTTGAGTTGGTCATGTGATTAACACTTTCTGTGTCTGAGCTGCTGCTGTACAGGGGGCTGAGAATAGCACACAGTTTGTGGTAATAACGGTTTGACATCGGGAAGTGAGACCGTGTGAATGGTGATGCTTGTATTTGTCTATGGAATTAATTTTAGTACCTTTTCCAGACAATGAAGTATCCAAAATTGTCGTAGAGATGTTGAATAACACTTTTATAAGCCTAAGTGCGATTATCTAAAAGTGGTTTAAGTACACCTTTGATGATCTGTACATCATCTTTTTACATATTAGAGGACAACTGCTTTATAGATCTGTGAAATCACAGTTGTCTTTAGAAGGTTAAAGATAGGGAAAAAAACTTTAATAAACTGAATCTGCACGAAAAAGTAGATTTGAGACAGTGCAGTTTCTTAAAGTTTTATAATGAAAAATTAAATACTACTATCAAAGTATATGCAGCCACAGGTTCTGTCTGCACAATCACAAAGGTGAGCTTTTAAATCTCCACAAAAATGTATTCGATGAATTTTACGTTGATAGTTATCTTTACAATTATTTCAGGATTGTAGCCGGACATCCAGTGCGCAGTGTTTTAGTTTAATAGTGCCGACACGTGGTTATTTTTCACTGAAGACTTCTGAGTTATTGAAGAAAACATAAATACAAAAAAAATCTGTTTGATGGCTTCATAAATTATTTATCAAATCAATTTATTTAGTTTTTCCCCCATTGTGATGTTATTATCAAAGAAACTCCATGATACTCCCAAGGCATGCTGGTGGGTTAAAATGTGTGCCTTCATGTTTTATATTAATCTTTCTCACTTTTTTATCTGATCTTCTACCAGTTAAAACAAATAATTTACAGTAAAAACAATTTTTTTAAAATTCTATGGGCTTTTTTTTTTTTTAAATCAATGTTTAACAATTTCCCACCACAATGTGTTTGATCCAACAGATTCTGTTATTTGATAGTCTCTAGTTTCAGTTCTTAAATTTGCTTCTGACTGATAGTCTTTTAAAATCGCTGGGTAATATATTTTCACAATTAATCGGCCATCAAATTATTTAAAATAGTCATACTCTTAAAGCATATTATATGCACAATATCAATATTACATTTTTCAATAATATAATTTCTAACGGGCGGTTATGGGGAAAGCTGCTCTTTGTAAAGCATTTGTTTCATATGTACATGAGAGATTTTCTCAAAATGTGTTGACAATCTGGTCCAGACTTTTGTTCAGCAGTTTCTGTTCATACATGTACCTCACAGCGGGAGATGTTCTGCTGGAAATGCATTCTCACAGCTGGAAATGCCAGGGAGACAGTGTGGGGGAGCGTCTGTGTAAAGCACACAGGAGGTGGGACATGACGCAGAAAACACAATGTTGATGTTGTGTTTGGAAAAAGAAAGAAACATGACCACACAATAACAACCACCAGAGGAACATGATGAGCGGCTTCATTCGCACATTGTGTCATCCGAACCTCTGAGAGATTTTGGGTGGAAAATGTCTGCCAGAAGTCCAGGTCAAATGTGGTATAAATCCCATATCGTAGAAGCGATTTTGTGTTGGCAGTCCAACATTCTGTTGGAAATCTTTAGCTCTTACAACTCACCTAAACAACACTCAAAACTAAGCCCATGGAAGTTCCCCCCGGCACAACATTGTGCACCACAAGAAAAGTTTGCCGAGATGCATCAACTCCCTAAATCCCGAGAGAGCATCCATGAGTCAGATCAGTCACGTTCAGAAAAAGGCCAAATTCAAGGGCCATCTCATAACTGAAAAACAGCCAAAGGATCAGACACCACGAGATAACCCAAGAAAATGCACGTCCATACCCAAACTGGTAATAATTAGTAAATATGAAGGGCAGATGCTTTTCAAAAAATAAACAAATAAATTGTTGTGGCTATTTGCTACTTATTCATTTACTAAAATAAGATTAGGAAGTATTTGACAATTTTTTTTAAAGACTCTATGTTATATATGTGTTTCGTCAATCTTTGGTTCAGGATACCCAGGTTCTAGTTTCTTAAAATGAGCCAACTGTAAACATCTAAAGAACTCTGGCAGGTTTAGTGCCACTCTCACTTGTTAGAACGAAGCTAAAGTGTTGCATGATTTAATTTCTAAAAAGTGACAAGCACGCCCATCAACATAAACAATTACCCTGATTGTAAAGCAGGCCAGAGTGTTTTATTACGCAGTCATAGTCAGAGCAGAGCGACTCCAGCCTCAGTCTTCATCTGTGTTAGGGTTAAAGGTCAAAGCAACAGGAAGCGGCTAAGTGGCCTGTGAAGGGGCTGGGCTCAGTGCTGAGCCGGTACAATGACTGCATGACACGCGGCTCTAATGAAACACATCCAGCAACGGTGGATTTCACGGAAACCGCCGAGTGTATATTCACTTAGACTGTTGATTTACCAAGAGAGTGAGCTGCAGTTGTTTTGGAGCTGAAGAACCGCCCCAGTCCCAAGTCTCCTAGTTTCACTACTCCAGTAGCTGTGATGAATACGTTGGCTGGCTTGATGTCTGAAAAAGAGAAACATGAAAAAGGTTTAATTTAGTAAGAATTCTGTTTTCAGTTGACACGCTAAATGCATAAATGGTTTACAGAGTCTAAAATATCCTTTCAGTGAATGTGGGCGTCGGCAATCTGTTTTCTGGAGCGATGTCAATGTGACCTGCATTAGTTTTTAAAATTTACAGCCCCCGTATAATTGTATTGCAGCTTTTGAATGGGCCGTCTCTGTTAAGTGCTTGTTAAAGCGCAGAGCTCAGGGTTCATTAGTGTCCGTGTGCCCTAATCAAAGTCAGTCCAAGCGGATGTGCATCACCTGTAGCTGAGAGTGTGTCCTTAAACTCACAGCTGTCTGCACACGTGACTCCAGGACTTGATTAGATTGGGCCCCATCGAAAGCATATGGGCTCATAAACACTGATTCCTGGCCAACGTATTTTTAACACCTACATTTTTAGCCTCTTGTCACATGTAACAAGGTCCATCACACAAATGAAAACTTTAAAGCTTGAAATTCCTCTTTTTCCTTCTTTTTAGGACTGAAAGTCTTTTTATACATTGTGCGTGGTTCATTACATAAAATGCCAATTTCCCATCCAGAGATGAAACCATTTACAATGCACTATATATTTATGGTGTGTGTGTGTGGTTGTGTTTGTTTGTACGGCAGCACTACCTCTATGCATGACTCTCCGGGAGTGCATATGTTCAAGAGCACTGCAGAGCTGGACAAAGTACTTCCACACTGTCCTCTCTGGGATAAGCCTCCTCTGCTTCTTAAAGTGCTGTAATGACAAAACATATGAATACACACACAGACTCACACAAAACCACTGCATCAAAACACAGGATGAGGAATGGACAAATGTTTTATCACTAAAGGGTTAAAGTACTTTGTGGCAAAAAGATACATTTTTAAGAAGGTAAAACAAGGTTTTACATGCTTGTGTGTGTGTGTGTGTGTGTGTCTGTGTGCATGTGTTTGTACAGTATCACACACTCTGACTCCACTCCTAATGCAACCCAGACCCTTCTGTCTGTTCCTCACTTTACTGAGCCCGGTCTCATTTTCTCTGCACCCGACAATGGAAAGCACATGCATTCTCAGGAACAGAGAGAAGAAATGTGTGGTACCTTCTAAAAACCCTCCCATCTGGCACACAGGACCTTTGTTAGGTACAACTTACAGTGGCATCAAGAGAGCGGCTCCATTTGTTTTCAAAGTACGAGTATTTACTCATTAAGAGGGGATTGTGCGTTCGTCATAACTGCGGTCCATCTCCAGAAAAGCCATGGCGATGACAAGAGTTTCAGCTTTGACATAAAAGCAACTGATGATAGCAACGACTCCTCAAGCAACGGTGGCAGCAGTGTAGACTCAGAAAATGTTTTAATGTCCCAGTTATAGGGATTTTATGGGGTGTCCTTGAAGCTCCAGTTCCAGGAAAGAAAATGGAAGGGGAAAAAATGGGGGGAAAAACCTGGACTCAATTCTTCTTGTTGGACCACAGCTGCGTGGGAGAGCTACAATTTAGGTATTTGGTGAAATAAAATTAACTAGTACAACTCAAAAGAGCAACAATGTAGCACACCTGCATGTTCAAGGTCTCTAAATCTCATTAGCTACAGATCATGGTATTTAAAACAAAACTGCAGCTACTAAAACTACAATTGTGTAGAGAAATATTCCTGAGATAATCTAATCCATTACTAATTTTAAATTAATTTTTATTTGATTGTCACCAGGATGTCCCATCAACAAGATAAAAAGAGAGCTGGGGGAGCAGTCTTGCCTATTGAGGCACAGTTACCTGACAATAAAAAGAAGGTTCCTTATGTGATTTCTACGATGCCCCTTTAATTCAGTGACATACACAAATGTCACAAACATCCATCATTTCCTTCAGGGTCAATAAAGTATCATCCATCCATCCATCTAAATGTGTCTTACTTGGAACCTTGTATTAAGTTATTGTACTTTCAAGGTGCTTAATATGTAATGCAGCTTTCCCCTAAATCTTATCAAATCTGCAGTACATGGAAAAGTATTTTAAGAGCAGTCTAGGATCAGTTCTCTGTTTAGAACAGAGACAGGGGATGGAACAGTTAGGACGGAAGGTTACAAAGTATTGCTATATAAACAGAAATATACTGTGGCTTTTGTCTACGATTGGTCAACAATGTCCGACGCAGCAAGTCATAAATAATGCAACAAGGAGCGAACCGCTTTGCATTTGTAATGAAATGTAGAGATGAATGGTACACTAAATCAAGGCTCCATAAAATGTAGCAGACTGCATGCATGTGCAATATATCACGGCATAATCAATCACTGGCAGAAAAGTTGCTTCTGCAAGTTTTTTTTTTTCTTGGCATTAAAGCAAATTTTATTCCTAAAGTGATTTATGATAGATGCGAAGATATGTTCTCACTGCATAAATAAATCGTATGCATGAATTACACCCGTTATAACATATGTGTCAGACACAGAACGGACTGAAAAAGGGACGGCCAGCACTGGCAATGGTAAAAAAAATACCCAGAGGCATCATATGTGGCGCAAACAGGAATCCCACATATGCAGATAAGAACAGTTGGGACAAGAATGCTTGCACATTGAGAATCATAACTTGACTACTGCTATATTAAACCATGCCCTGTGACATGAACAAAACAAACATATGTTTCACGAGATGAACTTCGTGAGGAAGAACTTCCTATTGAAGCACAGTATCACTGAGGTCAAGTTTTTTTTTTTTAAGAAAAGAAAAAAAAGACAAGACAGTTTTTACTTGTTGCTCAGGTGTGTGCGTGACAACAAAACATAAAGAAACATGGAATTATGGAAAAGTACATTCTCTTTCAATTCTAATGATCCACATATAAAAAGACCAAAAAAACAGGTCCTCATTAGATCCTTAGCTCAAACAAACAAATAACCTGATCTTTTCATTATTTATTAAACAAAAACAGGACAAAATCTAGTAAATGTAGTTTGTGCATTTGGCTTAAACGTCTAAATAATAAAGTCTCTTTCATCACTGTGGAGGAATTATGACTAAGTCTTCACAGTGCTGCTTCAATTAATTGAGGTCTGGGGACATTTTTTTAAGCCCAGCTCTTTTAAGAACCCAACACAGCAGTTTGACCGGGCTGCTGCAACACCTTGATTCTTTCCTTTTTCTGCTGTAGATTTCTTGTCGTCTCTGGTATCATTGCCCTGTTGTGTGACCCAGATTCAGCCAAGCTGCAGCTGTCACACAGATGGCCTCAGAGATGACTCTAGAATACTTTGGGATACAGGGGAGTCTATAGTCAACTAAATGACACCAAGGTGTCTGGGTTTGAAGTCCTTACCATCAGCCGTTAAAGCCATACATCTCTTCTTTTGGTCTCATCCAAATGCATTGCTCCATAAGTTTGTTCTAGTTCAACAACCCATATACGCATTACGTTTTTTTCTTTTCAAAGAAAAGGCTGCAACCTTTCCAAACAGCCATACTCGTTCAGCCTTTTTTCCTAATTGTACCATAATACACTTTAACATTTAAAATGTTAACTGAAGCCTGTAGAGTTTGAGATGTAGCTCCTGGGTTTCTGCTATTTCTCTAACAATTGCACATTCTGGCCATAGAAAGAAATGAACGGGGAGGTCCACGCCTGAGCAGATAAACACCTGACCTGAATGCTGTCCACTTGTGTCATTGTCTAAAAATGGCCACCGAAAAGCAAAGAATGGATCGATTGGCAGAAACAAATGCATCAAATGTCATTACTGTGTCTTCTTTCTTTGGTACTGTGTTAACATTGTTTTGAATCTCTAGCCTAGCACACTACCAACATTTCTTCTTTGAGGCTGGTTCACAGACTGATGTTGCACACCTGCCTATGCTAACTGCACACTGTTATCGCTCCTATTAAAGCAGTAAGGATGCTGTCATATTCTGGCTTTGTTAAATAAATAATGGCATAATGTAATGAGTCACATGATGCTGTTCATAATGAAGCCGTTTGTTACCACTTATCTGCATCAATATATTTATATAATATCAATACATTGTTATTATCACCAAGACCAGCTATGGGGCAAATGATCTTTGTTATGTGTTGAATTACAAAACCTTAGAACTGAAAGAGAGTGCATTTTCTCTTTTAGACAGCTTCAGACTGAGAGCCAGTAAACAGTTTTAACATTGGAAGCAGTAGCGGATATTACAAAGGTGAGGGTGTGAGATACAAAAATATAGAAGGGTGTGAAAGCGAGGTAGAGAGAGAGATGAAGAAAGGCAGGAACAGACCTTGGCCTACATCCAAACAAAGCCTCAGTGAAGAGCCATTCTTTCCTTGCCCTCCCATTTCCATATCAGAGGACCGTTTGATGTCAATGGGGGAGCACATAGAGACCCACCAACGCCCTCTTTCCTATGCCTTTAACAGCAAACACTGCACATGCAATATTCTGTAAGTGCATGCAAATCAAGAACCATTTGATATCATTTGCATTCTGAGCTGGTCAGACTGAGACAGTCACAGAGAAACGAGGAAAAGTGGGGAAAAAGGAAAAATGTGGAGGATGAGAAATCAAAAAGAATAAAAAATGTTAAATGAATTTATCAGCTGAGGCTCCGTTTTACATATGGCGTGGTATGGAGTGAATGTGTGTGCTGCGCACGGCTGTCCAAGGACGGGTGGCTGATCCATGACACAAACCTCTGAACCGGCCCCACCAGGAAAAACAAGACAATTAGAAAGCTGCATGAGACAAACTATGCAGAGAGGAGGAGCGTGCTGTGAGCAGGCGTAGAGATGTGACACAGCTGGAACACTTCTAGCATCCTTGCCGGCTTTGCTAACATAGTGGTGACGCTTACTGGTTTGCTAATTTACCTTTCTGGGCTGCCATGCTAGATTTCTGTAAAATGCAACTCGGAACATTTGCATCAAAGTGCGTTTTCTATGGTTGTGTCTGCACATTCTCTGCTTACAAAGTAGTCCATGTGTTGAGCGAGTATGTGTGTGTTCAGCCTGCCATGTTCACTCTCTTGTACAACTAATCCTCGACTCTCCTAATTTGCTGTGTTGAACTGTGCAGATGTGGAGCTGCTGAGTATGACTGCAAACAGCTTGTCGAGCTGTACTGATACAACGCTGCAGCATCATTTATGCATGGGAGAAGACCAGGCTTTCTACATGCACACCCCTAATTTGCTATACTGGCAGGTTTTTATAATAACTGGGGATTCGGTTTAACTCATAGATGAAAAACAGGGTGAGCCAAGGATAGAAAATTGCTACCACTGTTGAATAACTCTGTCTTCTGGTCCAATTTTAATACAATTTCCAACTTAAAACCTACCATACTAAGATTTCCTAATGAACTGAACACACTCATTTGGGTCAGAGTCATACAATATATTAACTAACTCTAACCATTGGTTTTATGCTAGTGCACTTTCATTTGTCTAGTTGGAATCATTACGAGACCAAAAAATGAAATGTAAAGTTTAATGAAATACAAAGTTGTCTTTATAAATTAACCTTAAAGAGAAAATAAAGATGAAAAAGTAACAGCTTTCCACTAAATAAAATGCTATGACAAAGCAGCATTCACTCTTACACTGCTTTCAATCTAATTAATTTAGGTTCAGTACTAGTCCCCCTTTCTCCCCTCCTATGCAAAATACCAGCACCAAGTTCCTGACCATTCAGCGCTGCTTGCCTTTTCACATCTCTTTCACAGTCTTGGCAGATGTAGATGAAAGGATGCTTATTAAAGCCTTGTATTGGCTGGCGTTTGCCGGCTGTATGGGAGGGATGATTCAGGTTGACTAAGTGTTCAGGTAGTCAAACGTCTAACAACCGCAAACCACAGGACTCCTGCAGTTTTACCTCCTCAGCAGTTTAATAGTTGTTTGCAGCAACATTTGTACAACAGTTGTATGAGACTACGTCAGCTGGCTATGATGTAGCCTCATAATAGCCCCAAAAGCCTCGACGTGCATTCAAAACACGTATGTATCCATAAGACATTTGGGTCTGAATCAGTACCAAATACTCTGATTTCTTAGTGTTTCTTAGACTGGTAAATAAACATGATAAAACAAAGAAACACAAAAATCAGTTTATTAAATAGGTCTTACCCAAAGCCACTGGGTAAACTACCGTTCCTCACCTTGATCATTCGAGAAAGGTCCCCAGCATCTGCTAACTCCAAGACTATATTCAGCTCATTGTCCTCAATAAAAGATGCATGATACTTTATCACGTTGGGGTGGTTCAATTGCTGTTGAGAAAAGAGGGAAAAAAAAGAGACATGTCATTGATAAAGAAGGAAAGAGAGCAAATGTTGCTGACACTTGTCACATTATGGGCATCCTTGATCACATTCCCCAGCTTCTCAAGGGCTATCACACTCTTTTTTTTAATTATCAAAACAAGGTTATAACTAAATAACTAGTTTTATGTCATGTGCAGTATCCTGTACTTTTACTGCCAATTAAAATAAAATGCTTGAAACCATACAAACAATACATATTGGGTACGTGTGGACCTAATGAGATGGTTTTGTCCTCAAGTGTGACAAAGCTGGGTGACATGTCACAACAAACCCTTGTCTATGATGACAACAGCCCGTGTGTGAGACACAAGCAGGAGCACGCGCACACACACACACACATACAGACACACACACACACTGATGCACACGCCTGACAGGCTGACATGGCTGGCAGTCAGAAAAAACAAGCATCCCAGGCTCATCTCTAGCTGAGCTTCCTTCCTGTTGGTTGGTCAATAAGGCAGGAACAGCATTCCCTGTGGTAAACAAAAAGTTTCTTTCCATCCAGAGCCAGAGATTTGGGTGGGGGGGTGGGGGTGGGGGTGGGGGGGGTGACGGGAAAGAAACAAATGACACAGTGACACAGTCAAGGAGAGGGAATGAAGACAGGGCAACATGAAGAGGTAGGGAAAGAGAACAAAGGCGAAGATTGAAAAGAGAACCGGAAAGAGATACGGTAGGCTGAGTTAGAGAAGGGGGGAGGGAAAATGGAGAGGTGGTGATGTGTGGAGAGTTGGAGCCGTGATGTGAGCAGACGGAGCGGTGTGACACGCGTCCTCCGCTCGGCTCTGCTATGCCTTCTCTGCTGTGATTAAAGAAATGTTCATGCTCTGGATGATGCCAAGAAGAGGGGAAAGAGAGCACAGTAGAGTACACTACGCTGCACTACACTCTCGACTTCATCTCTGCATCCCTCCACAATCCTCTTCCTCATTCGACCTCTCTTTCCTTTCCTCGTGTCTCCATCTTTCCTTCTCCCTCCCTTGTCCTTTCTCGCCAGATGTATTTTTGGCTCAGAGTGGCAGTTCAGCACAGCTCCACACTGTAAGACATCCGAGCAGTGATGACAAGTCTACCCACCCCCTCTGCCCGCCACAACCCACTGCTCTTCCACAAGTTGGACCTCAGGCGAAAGAGACACAGGAATGAAAAGATGTTAACTTGCAGATGTTTATGTAAATGATGGAGAGGACCCGACTGCAATACAACAATCATTCAGTGGGAAATATCGCATCGCGTCTTGCATGATTATGTAATTACACATGCTGGCTGAGACCCAACAGCGTGTGTAATTACTTAATCATGCAAGACTATGTGATACATTCGTTGAGCTGGTGATGTGTTTCAAAGAAGAAAAATAAACAGACCGATCTGATGGCACAAAATTAAACAAGCCAGGAAATTAATATTCACATCCGAGCAGTTGTGGGCTTTAGCACCAATGGGAAACAACAATGATGATAGAGAAGGCATCCAGATATATTTTAAGATTCTATTTCCATCATCCTACAGATATGAACTCCCCGTGTTCCATGGAACATTTTTCATTAGATTTCCTTCACTACCATGAATGGGAAAAAGATCAGACAACCACTTTCTTAGCTGTACATTCTGACTTTGTTGTACCAGGATAAATTAAGCTGCTTTGTGTCACATCTGTCCTCTCTGTAAACCAATGCTGTCATCTAATCAGATAGAGAACCCAAAAATGCACGCGCACACACACAAACACGACACACATCTCCCACACAAATAACAACACACGGGAAAGGAAACAGAGCTCTTTTTCTCGGCAGATTAAAGCAGATCGTTAGCCAGAAAACAATCCAGGTTTGATTGGTAACACACTGGAGAGGAACATGCAGTGTGAGATTTCTAAAATGGTAAAGTGAGCTGAGGGAAAGGGAGGGGGGCTTTTTCTGCGTGAATTACAATTAGAAATTCAGAATTTAAAAAAATGAAGAGTGATTCTCAAGTTGAAATCCTCATGCCAAAGAGAGAAAATACAGATGAATGAGCAGACACAAATGCAGACAGACAAACAAACAAAAAGGCATGTTGTTGAAAGGCCATGACTGAGTGTACGCGTGTGAGCGAGAATGCGAGTATGTGATCTTGGGTGACTATGTGTGTCATTCCAGGCGGCCCATGCCAGTGTGCCTCTCATTATCCTGATTTTGTTGTGTCTCCTGTTGGGACTGTCTACTTGAGAGCAAGGCAGAAGGACTGTCTTTCTCACATTCACTTCTTTATTATCCATCTGGCTAGGCAGCACAAGGCCAAGCAGAACTTATATGTTCACTGGTAATCAGCTTGGAGGTTGAAAAGATGGGAATAAAAAAAAACGAGTTGGGGGGGAAAAGAGCAAAAGGAGGAGACAAAAGAGATGGATAGAAAAACATAGTAGCAGAACAAAAAGCCTAAGGTAGAGGATATCCGAAAAAAACAGGGTTTAAAGGAAATCTGTAAGAGAGTGGAGGAAGAGGAGTGACGGAAAAGAAGTGTTGGAGATGGGAGGGTGTGACGTTTCACCCTGCCCTGACCCCTCTTAGTAGGTCAGAAATACAGATCAGGCTAACACTGCTGTCTCACTCTGTCATTGTAACAATCCGTTCTCTTTGGGGGGGGGGACCATCTGCATCTGAGTATCTTTATGTCTGGCTGAGAGCTTTGATGAAGTGTTTGAGTGGCACAAACTAATTAGTCGTGTTTTTCTATTTATGCATAATGTGAACATGTAAACAGTCATATGAGAAGTAACTCTCAGAAGAGCCTGCGTTCGCACACAGAAAGGCTGCATGGAGGCAAATATGACCAGAACAACGTGCATGCACATTTGCAGCATGACAAACACAGAAGCGTGACTCTTTAAGACAGGCAGGAGTATTGAAGCTGTCATTAGTTTGTTCATTAGTGTCTGCCAGCAGCGTAGCTGACACATGTTAAAGGTAGTTTAACAAATGAAACTACTTCACCAGGGGGAAAGAATGAGAAAAGGGAGGGACACACATAAGAGGCACAGCTAAATTTCCTTGCTGATGCTCAATTCCTCCTTTACAAACAACTGAGGATTAAAAAAAAGAACACATAAAAAATAAAACAATTCTTCTGGCATTGAAAAAGAAGCCAATATAAGCCTGGAGGGATGCAACACTGCAGAATATGTGCACACATACAGAGATACAAGGAGAAAGTAACACACATTTACTGTACAGTCACACATTTACCCTCATCCACATCCTCATTTGTGTGCACAAACACTCCACCAGCCCCCTGTGTTTGTAACAATCCAAGGAAATGCACATACACACACACACACCACACAAATCCATGCTGTCTGGTGCAGATCAATTGTTTTTCTGTGGTGGTGGGTCTCAGCTGAGGCACCTTAAGAGAACAGAGCACAGCGCATGGCGCCGTCTCCCTCGTCTCTGGTTCTTTACCTTAAGGAGATCTATCTCTTTGATGCAATCTTGCCGAGCTTTGGCATCCATCAAGTCGAATATCTATCAAGAGATCAAAAGGGGAGAGAGATAGAGAGGACAGTGAGAGGTGTTATGCCATATTCAAAAAGTTGTAAGATGGATAGATGCAGAGAAACAATGGAAACAAAAACCTAAAACAGTACACGGTTGCTGTTATCTGGAGGGTGGCACTGGAGTGTGTACAGGTGTTACACATCAGAGCAGCATGCACAAATCCCTGTGTATGTTGTATTTGAGGTTGTGTATCTCTATACATGCTCAATCAGAGCAACATTCCCTCTTGTCAGTGAGAGCATGTGTGCATACATCAGTGCACACTGCAGGTATGTTCGGTTATCTGCAAACTCACCAAGAAAATGCAGCTTCATATTGTAAAGTTCTGCTTACACAGTCATATTTTACTGTTCACGCAGACAACTCAGTGTTTGGATATGGAAGTGGTTCACACCAGTGGATGAAAAATTATTACATTTGATCTAATTGTTTTTAATCATACAGACTAGTTCATATAAGCTGTATTTTTTCTGCCATGCTTATGTAACAACACTGCACAGATCAAGACGGGGAATATACTGTGGACATAACACTGGTCTTAACAGTGGTAACAGTGGTCTTAACACTGCCGAGTACAAGCATGGGTGTGTTTGCAAAATTAAACTTCAATTAAATACATCTGCTGCGCCCATGCAATGCACAGCTACTGTGTCTTACCTGAACTTTCTTCAGGGCCACCGACGTGTTGTCTAACAGGTATCTTGCCCTGTACACCTCACTGAACTGGCCCCGCCCAATCTTTTTCTCGATCTGGAAGTTAGCCAACGAGTTATGGCCCATATCCGGCTGCAAGGGTTTCTGAGAGGAAGGAAACAACACTTACTTCATACACATATGACCATGCATATCATTATGAGCACACAAAAGTATAAAATGATTCTTCTCCAGCAATAATGTATGTACATCATTAAGGTGAAGTTACTGTGAACCGGAAAGTGCAACATTTGAGGATGGAGAATATGGGAGAAGCCTGTAGGGCCTCACATCTCTAGTTTTTTTTTTTTTGGACTGGAGCTGCTTCAGCCTGCTGATTTGACTGGCACTGGTCCCATGAGTCATACTGTGAAAGATCATGAGGACTACATCCACTTCACTGAAACCATTAAGTTCAAATTAATTCAACACACAGTTTTTGCTTCTTTAAAGTTTTGAATGCTCATTGATAATGCTCCCATATTCTTAAGCAAACAAATGGCTTAAAGCTACAGATGGGCGCTCTTCTGGAGACCAAACAACTCTGAGGCAAAGGTGAAGGGGATTCTTTTCAACAGGGAGAGATAAAAAATTCTCATTTACATAAATGCAGGCTTCTAATCTTTCCATCTAAGGTTTTCAAGTTCCCAGGGATCCAAAGCCCTCATCCTTCGTCTGCCAAGTGGTATCACTGACAGTCTGGCACGAGGCCACAGACTAAAAGACTTCTCACCTTGACACACCACATGAGCCGTTCTGCAGAATGAGATACTTGCTTCCACAATTTGGGCGACTAAAACTCAAAAATAAGCCAAAATAAGCCCCCCAGGATATAATGTATGAAACGCACGCACACTGTGTGACCTTTCGAGCCTTTTGGTTAACTCGTAATATGCAGAAGAAAACAGAAGGTGACAGATATCAGAATGCCACATGTCACCAGCACTTCTGCCAGCGTGGCCATGGGAGCAGCTGAGGGGCAAGCGACTTAGCAAAGAAGGAAGGAGGATGTAGAGGGAAGAAGGTCAAAAAATTAATCTCCTAAGCGCTAAAACATGCAAGAGGGGTGTCATCACATTTGTTCACTTCACTGGCATTTCGCATTTTTGACAAAGTTACCATAAGTGAAGACCTGAGGCAAGAGATTGCTTCAGCTGACGCACTTTAAAAATATATCTATATCAGATTTAATTCACTGCCAAATGAATGATTATCCGAAAACAAGAAGTGTTGTGTTGACTTTAAAGACAAAAAACAAACAAAAACAAAAATCTTTAAAGAGTTATTGCACTGGAAAATCAGAAGGAACTGCCATCAGCACATCCCATCCACATAATATTTACTTATGTCACGATACTTTTGTGATTAGTGGTCAAGTTTGAGATCATGCTTCATACAAAAAGAATTTATTTTTGTTATTGAAAAAACTAGATCTAAGACAATAAACAATAAATCCATAATTACGTTAACTCACACACTGACAGTGGGAGGAAGTGCTGCTTCAAAAAGGATTCTTTGCATCGGGCTGGAAGACTGGAGGAGGTGGGGGGGGGGGCACCCATTTGAGCATTTCATTTTTTTTTTTAAGCTGACAGTTAAAGGAAGAGGCGTGAACCAATCAGATGCCCTGTCCAATTAACACCGCCGAGGTGTGCGCATTTTTCAGCATGACACCGCCATCATCCCAAGCTGTGTGAGAGACACTGACAGCCAGCATGTCACGCTGCTCCACCACCCCCTGCTCACCAGAACATGAGATCTACAAAACAGCCGTAATTCTTCACTTCCACGTCAATGAGACAGAGAGAGTCTTCCTCTGAAGGTTTAACTGAGAATTAAAGCTGCACTGGTGAGGAGAACAATTAAAGCCAGGCTATCTAGAAAGCGTGGAGCACCTGAGCTGCTGCTCGTTGGGCGACCACTTTTGAAGTGGACGTTTGCGGGATGGAAAGTTCGAGGTTTCTACATTCAAAGAGCAGAGGAGAGAAAGAAAGAGCGAGAGAGAGGACAAGAGGGCATTGCTTTCATTCGCTGCGTGGTAGCTTGACAAATGTTAGCATGAGCCTCTAAAGCGCTGTGACAACCGCCTGCTGAGAGCACAGTCTTGCTAATGTGTCTTGGCATGCCAGCTTCGTAATCACACATTTACATATGCAATGACCTACATTTGCATGTCAGATCGCACACTGTCCGGCATGATTAACAGTGGGCACCTCCCTGTGTGGAGTCGCCCTGGGTGGCGGCAGGGGCCATGCGAGGGCGGAAGAGAGGGCTGGAGGGAGGGCGGCTTTTCTGGCAGCCAAGGGGCCGGGCTGCCAGGCAGGATTATGTCAGCCAGCGGCCCCGACATTAGACACTTCATTAGAGATAATCTGTTTAGCAGTGGGCAGTGTATGTAAACTTCACAGGCCATTTGCGGCACCTCTTCGCCCCCTGGCCTGGCCTTCAAAGGGCAGCCAGGCCGGAGCTGACTGACAGGCCGTCTCATCTGCCGCACATTGGTGTCGCACAATCAGAAGCTCCCAGCTGAAAGACAGGGGCCCCGCAAACACACACCCACACACACACGCACGCATGAGGAAGCCACAGAGCAATGACCCTGTAGGAGACAGCGGTCAGTCAGGCTAGCACTGGGGGTGGGGGGGGGTCATTATAAAGAGTGGTCCTTCTTAAGGATTTAAGCTTAATCTGTTGGTCAGAGATGCTGGCAGAGCTCAGAGAGAAAAAAAAAGATTGCTTGCAGGTCTGAAATGAACACCATTCCAGACATAAATGTGGCAGCCTTTTCCTGTTGGGCGGGTGCATTCTAGAAGAGTATCTGGTCACTACACAAGAGATGATGCTGAGTTTCCTCTGCATGTTGCTGTCATTTCCAGGCTGATTGTTTTCCTTATTTAACCCAAACTCACAACTACTCTGCCTCTGACTGGCTGACATGTGCAGGTACACTAGGATCTAGATGGGTTGATCTTAACCGTTTAACACACCATCTTTAGCCTTAACCAGATAACAAACACTAGCCGATCAAAGCGGAGGAGGAGGGATTTCTTGTTAATAATCCTCTGATTTTTCTCTGGTCAGAATGAAAGGCGCTTTATATGTGGTCCTTGTGTGCTAGTCTCGTGACCTTAAATGGTGCCGTGTGTCCAGTTCTACGTCCAGCATGACTTGATGGGGTTAGACACTTCTTTCATTATGAGCCCTATGATCTGAAAAGTTTGACTCTGTGAAACATGTGCGGTTCATCTGTTGCTCTGAGTATAAACACTACTTTGTTGTGCTGTTCTCAGTGTTTTACTATTTCACATCTTTATCAAATCTTAAAAAAAAAAAACAAGCTGCTGCCTGTAGAGTTGTGAAATGGACCTGGACCATCATGCACCCTGCTAAATCTCAAATATTGGATAATAACAAAACTAACCATTACAAAGGTAGTTAAATCCCATTTCTTCAGAAATCTGAGTTTTCACAAAACATCTTTTTTTTTTTTTTTTTTTCGAGTTACATTCCTCTTCTGTTCCATGCAAGTCTTTTATTGTGATTTGAGGTGGGTACAGGCTATAGGGCATAAAGATAAAGTGGCAGTTGTGCAAGGCATCATGGGAAAGATCTATGAGGGACAGCGTATCTTGGGTTTAAAGGTGACACACAAACACCATGGGCAAGTCACAAGCAGGGGCACATAAAGAGAAAGGGAAAAGTGGCAATAGAGACAGAGAGGGAGCGGATAGACAGCTCATCGGAGGAAGTGTGATTCGGGCTGCCCAATAATGACACCATTGCCGAACATAACTGACAAGACACATGGAGAGTGGAAGAGGGGATGCAGAAGACAGAGAAAGGGGGCTGGAACAGGGTGGGGGTGGAGGGGACATGCAGCAGAGGGGAGAGGGTGTGATGTGACAGCCCAGTAGTGCCAATGGCTGCCACACAAAGGCCAGCGGCAGCAGAAAGGTGCCGTCTCTTATCCAAAGACCAAGAAGAATGCAAAGACTGAGAGGCAGAGAGAGGCTGGGTGAGCATCCCCACCAGGAAGACATGTTCGAGAGCTATTTATCCACAGTGATTTTAGGCTCCCGGCAAAAACTGGGCTTAAAAATGTGACCATGGGATGAATCTGATAGTTAACTGTAAGAGAAGAAAAAGAAAAAGGAAATGATGACACATAGGAATGGACATGGAACACAGGTTCACAGCAGAGCCACAGAGATGAACCCCGAGGTGATTTTAAAAGTTAATGTAATGACCACAAGATACCAAGGTGTTCATTACACTGTCACTTAATGAAATGAAATTTTATTTGGATGAAAGCTGAGAATGGTCACCTTGCCACATTCAAAGGTTATTATCATCTTGTTAACTAATGATTTACATCCAGCAATAAAAATTGTTTTCAGCTCGTTACTGGACGGCTGGATATGTGAGAATGACTTTAATCAGCTGTAACAACATGACAGGGCTTTGTCTGTCTCGCTACAATCTGGACATTGAAAAGCTCCGTTTGTTGACCAAACGTGATGAAGAAGAAGATGTTGTCATTTGTCAGATTCTCCACGCTTTTTATGAGAGACAATCAAATTTTGCGCAAACAAAAACAAGTTTAGTTTCGAGCGTGGACATTTTTACATTCGGTGTTCAAAGTAAGAAATCTGTCAAATTAACTTGGATTCCATCCAAGAGAGACAGAAAGGAGTACAAGGAGAGACATAGACAGCAACTGTCAGCGGAGAGGGGATACGGGTGGGGGTATAACTCCCATCCTCACCAGTCACCAGCCCCCTTGAGCAGGCACCATGCAATATTCATCCTCAGCCAGTCAGCCAGTGAGCCAGGCAGTCAAACCAGCAGGATTCAGCCCAAAGGTGCGTCTCCTTCTTCTCCTCTCAATCGGCTCCACAACCATATCGCCTTGTCTCAGCGCTTCCAGACAGATCTATGTCTGTCAAAGTCTGCAGCGACGATCAAAATCTGATCTGAAGGGGCCTTCTTACTAACCCTCCCACTCACTCAAGAGCAAATGCGCCATTAAAAATGCACATCTTACCAGCTCATCTCATTTAACTAATGCATATGCATCATACCTCCGGGACCAAGAGAAATTTATCGCAAGCAATACAGAGTATCCTTCATCACATATACAATTCAGATTTCTCCAGGAGGAGGTTGGTGGGGTTTTTTTTCCCCTGCTGCCAAGCAGACTGAACCTTTGGAAAGTGTGAAACAGAGACAGGACTTGTTGAAAGACACCCATCTGGATGCTGGTTAGACAGTCATCTACATAATCTAACTTACTCTCTCTGTCTCTCCATCTCCCATTAAATGTGAAATCGGTTCAAAATGCTCTGTGCGAGTGGAGGGGGGAAAAAAAACATGATGCAACACAGAAAGTTCACTGTGCCTCCTGTATCCTAAGCAAAGAAAAAAAGAACTTGGAATCCACACTGATGTAAACTGCTAGAAATAGATTGAAAACCAGGCAGAGAAATCATTAAGCCTGAACAATAGCACATAAGCAAACAGTTGGGAGATCAGTAGAAAACTTGCTGTGCGTCTGTGGGTGTGTGTGTATGCATGCATGGGGGAGTGTTGCCAAAGTCAAATTAATTATTAGAGCTTTTATCTGACTTTCTTATGTGCGCAACCCAATTATACTTAATTTTGCGATTACAAATCCTAAAATAAATTAACCCCCTTGGCAATTCTAGTGTTAATCTTGCCTTGCCCTTGCAGAAAACGAAAACTATTTTTAGTGTCCCCCCCCACCACCCCCACCCCCCCAGAAAGAATCCACATTTACTCTGGGGCATATGGATGATCCTCTTTGTTTAAAGTCTATTCAATACTTATAGAGGTAAAAACATCCTCCTGTAAAGAAATCAATGTGCCTGATGTTGGAGGGCGGATTTAAAACCCAACAATGACCAGATTTGCACAGAACAAACTTGAGGTGTATCGAACAATGGAGGCATGCAGGGAGGCCAGCCTCTGTCAGCCCCCTGAGCTCTGATCAATACGATCAACTCCACATTCATTCACTGCTGTCTGTCTCACACCGGGGCTCCAGCGGGCTGTGGGAGAGCTGGACTGAAGGGCATCTTCACTGACGCCGGAAGAGAAAGGTTAACACCGGCCATTTACATTTCAAATGATAAGGGTCGAGGGGTGTTTACTACGTGAACCTTATTGCAGCTCTTCTAAGACATGTGCGACTCAACTTTTTAGATTGAGAAGCGATGCGGCTTTTCTGGGGCCTGTGTGCGATCGGCTGCCGTAGCTCTTTGTGTCAATCACTGAAGCGCTGTGCGAAGCAAAGATTCCCTCCTCAGAGCCATATCAATATGTCACTTTACATGTCTTATCAAATACTTGTTTGAAGCTGACTCTAATGTATTCTACAATTCTGTAGAAGACCAATGCAGGGAGGCTATTCACCTGCAAAAAAAAACACTCAGATTTTCAGCAAAGTGGTGAATTAATATCGCTAGTCTTCTTTGTAAATGCGGTTATAGACTAAAGTTAGGGTCTGTGAATGCTGCTCTACTGGCAGTCTTGCTAACAGAACGGGATATAGAAAAGCTAGAAAGAATTATTAACAACAAAACAATGATTATAAAGACATAAGCAATTTATAAATTAAGTTACAACCATAATTAGTAATGCTGCTCCACATGGGGCTTTAAGCGGCTACCTAGCAGAAAAATGGGGGCTCCTGTCTTTACACTGAGGAGTGAATCTTGAACTGACATGTTGCAGACCTACTAAAAAGCTTATGGCCTAAAAATATCAAAGTATTTAATATCTGATTTTATAGATCACTGTACTTTACAGCAGTGTTCAGCGGCTTGTGTCCTGTTTCAGTGAGTTACCTGAGGCTGGAATACAAGCACGGCTGCTTGCTGTCCTTGTGGCTGCGTGTCCATATCCATGGTGTTAGGAGCCTGATCCTGTACACCCCTGGAAAACACACACAAAAGGTTTCGATATTAACTTCTTTAAAAGCGCTACCAAATTCTAAAACGTCTAAACAAATAAAGGAGTAAAACCAGTGTGGCTCTGCACTAAGCTGGGAAAAGATTGCTTCCACAGTATTCAGTTTCAGCAGAACTGCAGCCAACGTCATGCCTGTGGATTTGACACTCTTTGTCTTAGTCCTTCTCAAGTTCCAGCATGGCAGCCCTGCAATCTGGACCTCAACAAAGCACAGAGAGAAACATGCAGATCTGTTTTTTGCTGGCTCTCCTCCAGGTAATCTTTCTTGGGAATTACCAGTCATACTGGTTATTTATTTGAACAATACCACTTAGTTTTATGTTTCTGAGAAAATGTAGGTCACACAGAGGTGAATGAGCTGCATGTAAATGTGTGTGCGCGGGTGTGTGTGTGATTGTGTGTGTGTGTACGCTATAGTTCCAGTTAAATGCACGTTTTGGCATGCAGCCTAGATGGAAGCTAATTGCACAAGATACACTACAACTACTTGCTTATCTTATCACCATGCTTAAAGTGGTTGGTGCCATAATGAGAAATGGTACCTGAATGAATAATTTACATGTTTCTTTTTTAAAAAGGTATGATGCAAAAATTAACTTAACATATGCAATTGAATTATTATTCCAGTTTGCATCAAATTCACTTCTGTGAGGAAAAAGCCTTAAAAAAACATTTGCTGGAGGATTATTTTCACTGTACAATGCAATGCACATGCTATAGTTAAAAATTCTAACAATTAACACGACAGAGGATGCAGTGTGCGCATATCAACCATTTGTCACTCTCAAGTAAACGCATATGAATTGTATTTTTTGCATTTCACATTTAACCAAGGAAATATGTGCACAAACTTAGTACAGAACTGCACAGCTGCTGGGAGAAATAACTTATGTAAAAATGCTGAAAAGATAGAAAGTAGTTGCATGTTTAGCCTATAAACAAGGGTAAATAAAGGGTCAAAAGAATAAGAAGCTAATTAAAATCCTCAGGACTTCACCCCAAATGCTCAGGTGAAAAATTTAAGATAACTTTTCATAGTTGTTGGATGTTTTCACATTTCAATGACAAATTTCCCAAAAACAGCTGAGCACAAGCTATAATAGACAACATGTAAAAGACAGCATGAAGGAAAATGAACACACAAAAACAAAGATAAGATGATGTCAAACGTTGTTTTGTCCGGCTGGGACGACAACAGTCTCTCTGGATACCTTTACACGTATACGCAATTCTCTATTGTCTGAGTTTGTAAAATGTGCCCAAGCCCTTAAATATTTTAAAGTGTAACACTAAACTAAAGGTTAGTACATTTGAGTAACCATTGTACACACTCAATTTACAAAGCCTGTGCTGGAAACATTTAGCCCTGCCCTACCTGCTGAACTACATTTAACAAAAGAGCTGAATGTATGCTTACTTTACCACAGCATTTTTCTTTTTAGTCTGAAGGCTCTTATATAACAGAAGAAAGAACAGGTAAATTGTTTTAGACATTTCAGTCATTTGTAGTACGTAAGGACTTCATTTTAAAGCTATACTCAGCAATATCTGATCATATGTCCATCTGATAATAGTTTATGGAGGCTCAGTGACTATAAGGTGCCCAGCAAGCCCATATCATCATCCCTCCACCACTGTGCAAACAGTTGGTATTCCTCCCCGAGAGGATAAGAAACTGTCTTTGACAACTGTATTTTGTGAACAAAAAAAATGTGTTATTTACTATCAAATAACCATTATCATGGTGTTATTCAGTGGTGCCTCTATTGCTTTAACTTGTATGTAGATCCTATTTAGAAAATCTGAAACTGGATAAAGAGGATAAAACAATTTGGATATGCTCAGTGTCATGTGTTGAGCCACTTCCTGCCTCACAGGGGGGGGGGTTTGCAGGCCGGCTGGCCCTAATGCCTCTTGTTGTGATTCTTTGCACATCAGCCTTGTGTTTTGTTAGAGTGAGGCCAGCATCATTACTCCTCTCCGTGGCCCTCTTGTGCTCCTGACTGTCTAAGTGTCAAAATAACCAGCGGGCAACTGAGGTCCCTGATGTTCTTTCACCTCCTACATCCCATGGTAACGAGATCAATTAAGACTGCCATGTTAGATTAACACACACCAAGAAACAACACAATTACCAAAACTAACTCAATCAAAAATGGAGCAAATGAGGCATGGCCACAATAAAAACAACGACAACAAAATGCCACGGGGGGAGGGGGAGGCAAAAAAAAAAAAATCAAATCTGGTAGAAATGTCTGTACAAAAAGGGGGGGAAAAACAAACTTGCATCATGTTAGCATCAAACTAACAAACCTCCTTCCCAAACAATTATCACTCCACAGCATCTGTCACAACTGCCTTCTGATTTCCAAAAAATTCTTGCCCCAACCACAGAAGGGATTTTTGACTTCCAAAACACATTACGGGCTCAAAGTGCTGTGGAAAATCTGTGCCCGTCTCAATTTTTGTCATTTGGGTCAGAAATGGTGGCTGGTTGGCGAGAGATAAAAGTTAAGTCCCTGACCGTTTTTAGATGCATGTCAGAGCCTAGTTTTGGAGCTTTGCTCTGGGAAAGATGAAAATATCATTTAGCGTGTCGCAGAAATGTAATGTGTTTTAAATATTTGGTCTCTGAATGTGCTAATAATATGTGGGAAAAGCTGAATTTATTTCCTATCTTTCCATTAGGGACTATTATCTGGTCACTTTACATTACAGTCTTCTAAATTCTTGCTGAATTTCAGTTCAAGTTACTTAAACGTCTAAATACATTTTAAAAAGCATAAATAGGTTGTATTTTATTATACCAAAGTGTGCAATAGTTTGGTCTTGCTTAGTGGAAAACAAGCTTCCCTACATTGAAATGAAAAAAAAGCATGTTTTCTTTCAATTGGGGCAAAGCTGGAATAAAAACTAGCAGGGCTCAGCAGGGATTGTTCAGGACAGAGTGCAACAGATGCAGAACCAAAAAAATGCCAGGAGAGGGAAAAGAAAAAAAAAAAGGAAAAGGGCTCGAAGAAAAAAAGCTTGTTAGCCCCGATGTGTTCGTGGTCCTGAGAGGGAGCGTGTGGAGCTGTGTACCACAGAAGTTGGCACTGGCTTTAGCTTCTCTTTAATCCCCATTTCCTGCCTTCTGCATAATTCATTTAAACCAGGAGCACAGGAAAAACAAAGAGAGAGAGATGATCATAAAAGGTGGATCAAGGCAAACTGGGATGGGCAATCTTAAGCAGTTCTAAAAAGAAGAGTGCTAAATCAGCTCGCAGTCTGAGGACAATAAATATGAATACAGACTGATGAGTTTGGGTTTAAGGATAAGAAAGTGCGATGGGCGAGTACGGGGATGAAAAAGAGAGGAAGAATGTAATGTGACACTATCCGGCCTGGATGTACGATGTGAGAGAATCAAAGACACCTTTGAGGAGCCAGAAGACGACAGTGAAACGCTAGAAGAGTGGTGTCCATGATTACAAGAAATGGAGAAACCTTTGAGTCTGTGCTCATGAAAGCCTACCCCAGGCCTCCTCTCAAACCCCTGCCCGCCAAACGCTGATGATACAGAAAGAGGAAAGGAGGAAGAGAGAGGAGGAAAGCCTCTAATGATCGAGAGGTCCGGATACTACAGAAGCGGCACACTTTTCAATTCATTTTAATCACTTTTCAAAATCATTAGCTCAAATTTGCAAGCACTCTTGTTCATTGGGCCACGAGCTGAAAGAGCCAAAGACTGAGAAGGGAAGCGGACCAATTACACCTCAGCATGCAAGCCGGTTTTTGAGGTCTTTGAGTAGGATGGTAAGACTTGACAGAATAGAAAATGAGGAGAGGATGTTTTACTGTCTCTCAATCTGCAAGAAAAAGAAGGGGAAAAAACAGCAATATAAGAGAAACCTTTGAATTAAGCTTTGCAAACCAAGCCAAACACCAGAGTCCAACTACTCAGGCTTCTCCATACCCTCAAACCCAGATGCAAAAACCTAAAGTTATTCAGGGACAACTCAGCATGAGGATAATCTCAGTCAGATGATCCAAATAACAATGGTTCAATTAAAGTGAATTCCCCATCGAGGACCAGTCACAGCGATAAAGGTTGTGTGTGTCTGTGCTTATTGACGCTAGTAGGAACGATTCAAGGGACCAAATGAAACTAGGTGTCTTTTTTTTTACCTTTTCCAGCTCTCTTTTAGTGCAGTTCTATGTCGAGTTTGTGGACAGCTGTAAATAAAAACAATAAATTAAAAGAAAGTAAGAAAAAAAAACAACCTTGGTGCTTCCACACCGTCTGGGAGTGTGTGTGTGCGTGTGAGATATGTTCCAACCTTCACTTTTCCCCCTTGTAAAGAAAGCGCAGGAAAAAGCATGAAAAAAAAGGAAATGAAGATAAAGAAATTCACAATGGTCCACTGGGACTCAACAAGGCCAGTGATCCATAACGCTGCTTGCTAACTATTTATAGCCATCCTTTAGATTTTATCTTTCACATTTTTATGGGCTCATGATTATTTCAGCGCAGAAGTAAACAGCACAGCACGATAAGCCAAGGCTTCATGTGAGGCCTGAAATGATTTATTAACCATCCGTCCAAATGAGCTAGTACAGTGCCCTGCTTCGGTGCAAGTACATCTCGCCCTTTAAAGCCTCTATAAAGCGCATCAGCATAACCTGACCTTCCATGGGCAAATGGTCCCATTAACAAAACTGAGCCGTCCTCTGTCTTCATCTGCACGCCTGTGCACACCTGCACATTTGTATCCCCTCATCTCGTTTTTTTTTTATTTCTCCCGCATCCGACGTCTATACTAAGGGTGTCCACTGTTGAGAAAAGAGCTCAAGCACAAGCAGGTGTCAGTCACTCCCCTCTCCGCCTCCCTGGCTCTTGTCCTTCCCATGTCCTCTCCGTCGTGCTCCTCTGTGCTGTGTGTTTTTGACATGATCTGGCACGTGGCTAAAAGCCCAGGCACCCCCCCCCA